CGCTCGGACATCAACTCCCCATCTCAACTTGAAAAATGGCAAAAGGAGGGAAAACTCATAAGGTGGGGTCGAGATGGGGAGTTGATGTCCGAGCGGATCGAGGTCACGATAGCTCAGGTGGTTGAGCAGCGGCGTATCTAGCCGAAGGTCGTGGGTTCGAATCCCTCTCGTGCCATTAACTTTTTTCATCTCAACTAAACACCTTAATTAATTGTAATTTTAATTAATACTAAAATCATACACTCTCACTCTGTCATTGGTATCTGCCATTGCCTTTTTTCCGTGAATAACAATTTTATGCGCCATTTGGATTTTTGTTGTAATAATCCGTCAAATTTGACACGGCAAACTCGACATCTTGATGAAATTAATCAAGGCAACTAATCAAGTCACGTTAAATAAGCGAATAATGCAAATTCTTCAATTTAAAAAACATCTAATTTTTCTTACCATTTATTCTAGTAATAATTAATGGAAGGATCTGGTTTGCTATATAATCTGCTAAATTATACCATAAACCTGAGTCTTTCATCAATTTATTATTGATAGAATAGTCATCCAATCCTCGTTTACTTATCTATTATTTTTTAATTAACAATTTTACATAATCAAATTGAATTTTCTAAAATAATTATTTATTTTTGGGGCCTGCCATTAGGCACCAACCCCCAATATCTTTTGCCAGTCACACATTTCATAAAATTATATATGTACAAAAAATTGAATCAAATAAAAAAATATATGTTACAAGACCAGACAATTGAATAAAAGATCATTCCTGACGTTAATAAAATTTACCAGGTGGATATTTTTGCCTCGGGTGTCACATTTATCAGGACATTTTGCCTGAGCAGGCATTTCGGAAATTCCATTGTCAAAAGTGCTCCGCGCTTGAGTGAATGTCTATGATACGGATCGATCTTATCTAAGCCCTAACAAAGATATTGCCTCATTTGCCTACATAAACTAACCAGCGGCAAAATCCTGCCCGAGAAACAATAGTAAACTTCTTTCAACTAATTTCAAATAATTATTGTATGTTAATAACGCGACAAGGACCAATGCAAGTTTTTTTGGACTGAATTCCGGTTTGAAAAGGTGTCATACTGAAGCAGAGGCAAACATCCGAGATAGCTAGTATGTATAAAAATCAATCATTATTTATACATAAAATATAAAAACTTTTAAAAACACAGTATTTGCTTTGTCAAAATAATATTCCACTGTTCGGCTACATGTGAGCAGTGAACGAAGAAAACGCAATCGAGAAATTTGGCATTTGGCATCGTAATAAGAACGGAGAAAGACGAAAAACAATATTATATAAACATTTTTTTTTTTTTTTGGGGGGGGGGTTTACGCTGGCATATTACCCATGAAGTTTTCTTCTATTTTCATTTTACTGTCGAGCGTGATCGGCCGACCAGGGCCAGGTTCCCGCCGCGCGCGCGCACCACTCATTCAGCTCCATCATCTTCTCATCTTCTAAATTTTCATGCTTGAAGATAATCAAAAAGAAACGTTTATGGACTTTAGAAATCCATAGATTGTGTTGAAAGCTGATGGGTTGCTGGTTATTAGAACAGATTCTAAGTTTATTGGTTTTGAAATATTTGGGACTTTGCTCAGATTTTTTAGCAATTTGTCTCTTTCATTTTCATATTCTAGACATTCAAAAATTATGTAGGAAGGATTTGAAGGGCAATCGCAAGTGGGACAGTTCGGAGACGATGCCAAACCGATTCTCTTCTTGTAGCTACCCCATAGGCCATGATTTTGTCTTCAGTCTAAAAATAGTAGTATAGAAATCCTTTGACATTCCTTCTGGGCTATCGCCTTCCGAAAACCATGGTTTTTTCTTGAGCTCAGGGAACAGTGACCTGTAATAATTGCCAACATTTGTTGCGTTGTATTTTTCTTGCCACAGATTTCTACAAAACTTTTCCAAAAAGTTTTTCCCATCATCTTTAGGAATTTTAATGTCAAGGGTTGGACCTGATGTTGCAGCCTCCTTTGCAAGTGCGTCCACCGTTTCATTTTGCCATAAACCTGCATGCCCTTTCACCCAACACACTGCCACCCTTTTTCCCATGATTTTTGTCTCAAGCATTTTCCTACAGATTTGGGCAAAAATATAGTTTCTGCATTTATATTCTGGGGTAATGTTATTTAATGTTTATGTTATTTAATTTATGTAAACATGTTCTACACAATTGTATCTGAACATAAAATAATATTCATAGTTGTTAATACACATATGTTTCTAATTAATTCTCAAATATTAAAATAATTTTATGAGATTTATTTAAAAAATAAAGGCTAGAGAAATAATTCATAAAAATGATAAAAGTTTTTGAATTGTTTAAACCCTTAATTAATTATACCTACAAATATTTATACTAAAACCTTAATTTTTATCTCTAATCATGCAATCCAGATCGAATTTACTAAGTAGACTACTAATTAGTACTTACAGATGGGTTTAGCCAATTTTAAAAGACCATAGACCAATAAACAAAGTCGTACAAAATGATGATGAAAAGATTGGAATAAATCTTATCGTTCAATTTTATAACAAGGTCCGATGTGTCGGTGTGTGCCCTCATAACCTCTAATGGATCAAGGAGAAAAAAGAAGAAGATTAAAGAATTATATAACAAGTTAAAAATAAAATATCTTAAATAATATAGCCAATATTCATTGCAATTACTGAAATAATCATTGTAATAGCTTAAAATTGGACATAATTCATATGTTATAGCTTAATTAATTAATAACGTAAGTATTGGGGTGTCGGTGGCCGCAACGGTTTAGGCGTTGACACGGCGCTCGTCGCTGTAAGGTAAAGGACCCGGGTTCGAATCCAGCGGCCCTGAATTCGAACCCGATATACTTATAAATGGACTTTTTTTCAAAAACACCGGCACCCCGAGGGTTGATGTGACCTCTGATGTTTCCAACCCTCGTAAAAAAATGTAAGTATGAGAAGAAATACTAAATTAAAACATTCTACGTCTATATTTTTGTTAACAAAGTTTACTAACGTGGTTTAGGGGCTTTTTTTAATTCTTCTATAAATTTAAACAACAACCGTATATAGACTTACAAATTACTTGATTCCTCTTGATGATAAACATATGCAGAGTGGTTCATTTTTCGACGCACTACGGTATTCTGTAAAATACGCTTTTACAAAGTTCGTTTCCTCGTCTTGAAGCCGTTATCAAAGTGACCCTATAACCAGACGGAAAAAGACCTAGAATGAGGCCTGAGGAATAAATGGTTAAGTTAGTCTAAATTAACATTAGTATTAAGCGTTTTTAGGAAACGTGGAAACCCTACCATACGAAAAATGTGCCGATTTAAAACTGCTAAACGATTTATTTGCGTGAGTGTCGAATTATGCATAGGTGTGGATGTGACGGAACATCAAGTACTTCCAGGTCCACCAAATTAGTATAGGTACGTTGTATGATGAGAGGGACGGGTCATTGGCATTTCGTTGGTACTATACTTCCGAAGTGTAGTGGCCTGTCCCGAATAAATGTATTTATTAGCATGAGTGGTGATGCGTGAAAGGACGTGTCGAGGAATATCGAGTACTCCACAGGCCCATCAACCAATTTGGGATAATTTAATGAGTGGACTTTTTAAATACAGTTTGAATGTATTTATTAGTGTGAAAGAAAGGAGGCCGCAAGATCACGATAATCTTCCGACCTCCAATTTAGTTGTAGTGTAGGTTAGTAAATTATTATGTATGTGAATTACGAAATGTATTTTAATTTATCACGTTGCAGTCGGGTAGGTAAATACATAAACACTTGCACTATTTCGGTTTCGAACCCAAATTAAAAAACATTTAATAAATTCATTCAAAATTTCCTTTTTTTTATTTTCCCTTCTTACCAATCCGTCAGCCACGGTTTTTTCCTTTCCTCCATCAATTTCTTCATCTTTGAAAAAAGTAATTAAAAAAGAAATTACACCACTAATAAATGGAGTACGTTTTCTGAAATTTGCTGGTCTTTAGGTTTGGAAATAGTAGTTTAGAATCACCAAGTAAGTTTTTCAACTTTGAAAAAAAAAAAATTTTCAACGTTCTTGCTACTAAAATCCTTATTTCAAGGAGTTTACAAGTTTAGTATTGATCTCATCTAATTGGAAATTTAACGTAGTTTTCAATGGTACCAACGGATTTGTCCAAAACATTTTAGTTTTGGAATTATTTAGTTTATTTGAAGCAATGTCGTGAAATCTTAAAAAATCAGGAAAAGTGGAATAACTCCTAAACTGCTGAGCTACTGGCAAACTACTGGCAACCCTATGTGTGGGAGGGTAACAACAAACAAGATAACGAATCTCCTATTAGGTGAATCGGAATGCAACGTTTAGTTTGGGCATAAGAAGACTTAGAAAAGAATAGTTATTCAGATATCGTGAGATGCGGTCGGGTCACTATATCTGAATAACTATCGATTAACGGTCACTAATCTCTACACATTAGAAAAGAATACACATAGCATAGCTAAGAAGACAAATGTGCGAAGGGTATATACCTGAGTCACCGGCGATGACCCTAGTATTTAGCCGAAAATTTTTTTAAAACTGCTACTTCATCCGCTGGACTCACTAAATTTTCCAGCACAAAATCAGCTGTTTCTAGCTCGGATCTGGAGAAAAAAGATCTATTTGAGTACCTTTTTTTCGGCCTAAGCAAACTATTCTCATGACCAGTAAGTTCAGTAGCAATTTGTTTTCATTGTCAACTAATTAAGAAAATAAACAGTATTAATTATCTTTAATTTACCTATGTAAATTGGTTTAATAATTTTGAACACTGTTGTTTTTGAAAAACAACAGTACGAGTTAAACTGATTAGGAAAACAAACAATTAAACGTGTATATTGCATTTTAATCACTTTTCAAAGACTACATTTAACTCGTGGCGCTATTTACAGTGCAGTTGTTGGAATGGCTCGAGATATGGCAACGCTGTAGATGTGGATTCCATGAGGTAGAACCCAAACAGGGAATGTCAGTCAGTAACGCAAGTCAGTCAGTCAGTATGTAATAGCTGCTGGCTTTACGACAGTCTCGTTTCACCCTGTAACGCGAATCGCCGAGGTTTTACCGCGAATTTTGTGATTGAAATTATTTCTCCTCAGGTGAGTTAAACGTTGTCACGTTTATATTATATTTTAACGACTGTCATATATTTTGCTCATAAAAAAGCCGTTTTTGATAATTCTCCCGATAGAAAATAAAACAAAAATGGCAAACTGTATAAAAATAGTTTCGAGTTTTGCCAAGAGAAACAAGAAATTGCCTTGCGCGGATTAAATTTAATCCCGTTGTTTAAGTTTAAGTCTTCCCCACCTACTTATCGTACAGTTTATTGCATACCAACAAATCGAGAAATTGTACCGCTTTGTCATATTAAAATTTTAATGGCTTTAATTCATTTGTTCCCACGATTGATTTTACTGAAAATATATATTTCCAAAATTGTTGCTATAAAATTTAATTAAAAGAATAAAAAAAGACGTTTGAAAAGATGAAGGAAATCTTTTTAGAGTATTTCAAAATAGAAACTTTAGTTAATACATTAAATTTACTGTTTAGTTCAAATTTTCAATTCAGAAAGTACTGTCTAGAAAGATTTTCCATGCAATGGTCCTTGATGGCTGGAACTTTTAAGACTATTATTTAGAAACCTGATGAATAAAATCAGGAAAAAACGGATAAAATTATTATTTGTCTCATGAGTATGAGGTGGTTGTTTATTGTGTCTGACTACCTCCCTACACGTGTGTTTATGTATTTTGTGTGTATGTGTTGTGTGAGTCTTCCTCTATTTTGCCAGATGTATATCATCATGTAACCTTTCTCAAATATATACGTAATGATCCGTCAGTTTTATGTTAATATATAAACACAGCATAAAAGGATAGCTTAATGTAACATTCGTACGATTTGCTATTGCATTTATTGTTGAATATAAACCATCATTTAAACAAACAAACTTTAAAAAATCAATAAACAATATCAATAATATCAGTTAAAGTCACGATCTTTTCATATTATTATTTTTGTTGAATATTTTCATACATCTTAAGACACAATAATACCTTCTCAATATATTTTAAATTATCAAAATATATTTGTAAACTACTTTTTATAACATTTTTTATATCCATCTAATGCTCACTTGACTGTACAGTTTTTGGTTTAACTTGTGTAAATTGTAAATAAATAAATATTCGACTAGATTATTTTATTTCGCACGATTTATCAAGCTAACTCGACCCCAAAAATCAGCTTTGTCCCGTCATATCTGATTGATTTAATCAACAAGAATGATAAGTATAATTAAAGAAATACGAAGAAATGTGCCAATTGATGTGTACCTGGTTAAATTAAGAAATAAAAACCATCGGATTTCCACCCATTTGATTATTAGCTGAATGGTTTCACAAACAAAATGTACTTAAAGCACGCACTCGCACTGGTACTTACAAAGTCGAGAGATAATTTGATATTTCGATAAATAGAAGAGAAAGAAAAACAGAAAATCAAAGAAAGTTCACATTTTTCAAGTAAATAGGTTCACATTTTTATTGTAAATAGGGCTGTGAATAGTGATTAAACAAGGGATTTGGAATGATTCTAAAAAATACATACATATTTTAACATTCCTTAAGGATAGGGTAAAGTGAAAATTAATAGAATTGTGCTCTTTTTAAATGAAAAATAAATCGGTAATTTGGTCGAACAAACACAGGAATTAGAACATTAAGCAAGACAAACTATATAAAGATGTACTTCAACACAATTTTCTTAAAACACAACAAAAAAGAACAACACGAAAAATAAAAAAAAATACAAATACACTGCACCAAACAGAACAACATACTTGTGAACCTAACAGAGATAGATAGATAGATAGGTAGAGAGAGAGAGAGAGAGAAAGAGAGAGAGAGAGAGAGAGAGAGTGAGAGAGATAGAGAGAGAGTGTGTGAGAGAGAGAAAGACAGAGGGAGAGAGAGTGAGGGTGAAAGGGGGGGAGAGAGAGAGATAGAGGGGGGAAGAGAGAGAGACAGTGTGAGAAAGAGAAAAAAAGAGTGAGAGAGAGAGGGAGGGAGAAAGGGAGGGAGAGAGAGGGAGGGGGAAAGATAGATAGAGAGGTAGAGATAGAGAGAGAGTGTGAGAGAGAGAAAGAAAGAGGGAGAGAGAGTGAGGGTGAAAGGGGGGGGAGAGAGAGAGGAAGAGAGAGAGAGAGTGTGAGAAAGAGAAAAAAAGAGTGAGAGAGAGAGGGAGGGAGAAAGGGAAGGAGAGAGAGGGAGGGAGAAAGGGAAGGAGAGAGAGGGAGGGGGAAAGATAGATAGAGAGGTAGAGATAGATATTGGGTTGTCCGGAAAATAATGCAGGATTTTGGTATTAAACAAAAAAAAAGAAACTAGTTACTTTAAAGCAATGTTCTTTAATCAAAATAANCATACAAATGAGTAATCCTGTAAACGTAAACAGAATATTTTATATAGATTTTTTTTAATGAAAACTTAAAATCCTGCATTATTTTCCGGACAACCCAATAGATAGATAGATAGAGAGAGAGAGAGAGCGCTTACTTGAACTTGTGAAAAGTTACAGCGAGATTTTTGAGAAGTGGGAAAAAGTTTTTTAAAAAAACAAACATTCATTTAGCCAGGAGAATTCACAAAATGGAATTTGAGGACCCATGTAAGTTTATAAATAAATGATTATGTACATTTACTTACCAGAAATTACAGGAATATCCCCGCACTTATTGGCGTATCACAAATGTCATAAAAATCATAGCTCAGTCTTTAAGGTATTATTATTAAGGAATAGTATTATTAAAGTCGTAGGCTCCTATTTCTCATCATGGGGCATCCTGCTGGCAGTACAACTGCTGAAGAAGCGTATCCTTAAAGACTTCACCTCAATGGCAATGGTTATCTCGTGGAGGAGCTCAATCCTGGTTCATCTTGGGCACGAGGTGAAAAACCTCATAAACTTATCTTGGATTTGTAATGTCGAGGTTAGTCCGGCAGTGATGCTTCAAGTGCACGCGTAGATGCATGGACTTAACAATGCTGATGTAGAGGGGCTTTTTGTTAAAAGCACTCATCATGGGGTCCGTAGTAGAAGAAACAGCAGCCTGGTAGCAGTTTTTTCGCGGTCTCTTCTAACTGCCACATGCCTGGTGAATGCCAGACTATAATCCATTGTTATGCCCAGATATTTTACATAGCCTGAACAGAGAATGCTACTACATGCAATTAATAGTTAATAGATAATTGGTGAGGAGGGTGGCTTCTTTTTCGTCTGAGTTAATTTAAGTTTCCATCTTTAACAAATTTTTCCAATTTCGGTGCTGAGCCTTTTTTGTTATTGGTCATCAGCGTAGAGAGCCAACTTGACAACTTCCAAAATTCTCATCACCTACAAAAATACATACAACACGGCACAACATTATTCAAAACACGAATGAAACTAAACAACACATTTTTTTTTTTAAAGCGACATCAAATTAAGTACATTTAATCTTTACATATAAGTTACAAGAACTTCCGGAAGGAAACGCTGGGCATAGTTCGACATACACCACGCAAAAACTGTAACTAAGAATACGCACAATTATCGAACAAAATACAGACAATTACAAAAGGAAACTACTTTAATTTTAACGGACCAAAAGACGTACAGAGAAATACTTCCTGGAAATTAAAATCTTGAACGTATATTATTATATATACAATGATGAAAAATTAAACTGCGTAGTAGTTCACTTCACAGAAAACAGTAAGGAGCCCTCAATATACAAACCACTACACAACATACAAAACGGGGGCAAAATGAACATATGTACTAAAGTGTAGAAATGTGTAGAGATTAGTCTCACGATATCTGAATAAATATGTACTAAATTAACAATAGTGAACATACATCATTTACGCCATGCAAAAACTGTACCGATCCATAAAAAAGGGCCGAAAATCGAAAGGCAGACCGGAACAATCACAAAAAGTCCCCAAAAACACCGAAAAACAAAGATATGCCGACACACAACATCCCTCTCGACCTTATGGAAGTAAATTTGACTTCACAAAAAACATCGAGACCCAACAATGAAGATGGCGAAATGCATCTGACATACCAACCCGGCACATTGGATTTAACAGTTGAGTTAAATTTAATTGTTAAGTGCTGATTTTAAACACATAGAATTACGTGATCGAACGAATACACTATCTAAACATCCGTAAACAAATACAATAATCTTAATTTGTTAAAAGGAGATCCTTGCACGTATGTTACTCAATGCTATGCTACCAATTTGCATAACTAGCACACGCGTTATTATACATAAAGTAACCAAAATAATTGGTTTGGCTTCGATTCCTACCACCTCGGAAACCGAATCTTTCACATTCTATCCTAAGAGCATTTCGTGAATTTCCATTATTCCACAATCAATAATTGATTACCAGATTCCAAAAATCCAACGTTTCATCTCTACCACCTTAAAATATACCACATCCTCCAGTATCTCACTCTTTAAACTTATTATTGCTTAACAGCATAAAAATGAATTCCTAACAATTCAATTAGTTTGTAAGGTTGCAGTTTTACTTTTAAACCCAAATATTTAAGTTGATGAACTACTTTCAAACGTTTCCCTATCATTTAGATGTTTAACTCCTTAAGTTTCCGCCTCTTTTTTGACTGGAATTACTTTATTTTTTCTAGGTTAAAAGAATTTTTTTTAATAAATAAAAATAAGTTCTGCATTATTTTTAAATCCCTATCAAATCCACCTGCAGTTTTTTATATGTATATTTTGTTAATTCTCAAATGCCTAATTACTTCTACTTTTAGTACAACAAGGTCTAAAATGTATAATAAATTTTAATTTGACTATGTAAAGATAAATCATATTGCAGTCTTCCAAACATTGACCTTGTGTCTAACATTGATATATTTTTTGATAAATTTAAATAAAACAACCTTTATTAAAAACTTATATCATACAGTTTGGTTTATTAATTAGCTTATTCATACTATATCTTAATCTCAAATTGTTTAATAAACATTTAAGGGCATTCAAGAGTATCCAGTCAATGAAATATAACAATTTGTGAACAACTACCACACCTTATCTTATTTACAACGATTCTCGTTAATACACTCAAAGAAAAAAAACACAAACAGTAGGCATATTTTATTGTTTATCTGAAAATACAATAAATTCCTTCTTATAATATAATTAAAAGGTTATTGACTGATTTTTCCCATATAATATTTCAGCCCTCTCCCCAATATTACAGTCAATCTGCCGACTTCTTATGAGAAGAATGTTTTGTCTGGTGTACAATGGTTTTGAATTTTCTCGGTATATGTGTCAATAAAGATTATTTTATTAATTCTAATTATCTTTTCTTTACTGGTTCCTATTCATCTATGGGCATTGGTTAATTTATTGTAGAATGCCAATTATTATATTTTATCCTAAAATGTCAATACTTAGCCTTATACACAAAATCTACCTAAAAGCTGTTGTTTAATTTGTTAATTAATAATAATTAACCTGTATCAATAAATATGATTGCAATGTTTATTTAAATTATAAAAATAACAATAGTAACAAAGTCATTGTTCTGTGTAATTTATTTCAAAAGAATAGTTGGCATAATTCATTGGTATATCATCTATATTCTTTGAATAATTTATAATAATCAACATTGTTAAATTGCTGTTTTAATTTATAACAATAGATTAATACAGTATAATAGCATTAGTTTATCTGTTATTTGATAATAATCTAAACCCATCATATTTAGTGGTCTATTGACCAAATTACTTCTTTCAATTAATTTTCTTTTTATGTAAGGATTCTGGTTGAAATGAAAAAGTATTTAGCCGAAGATCGTAGGTTCGAATCCCGCACGTGACGCTGACTTTTTTACCTCGACCAATACCTTTCATAAATAATAATAAATTCACTAATTTCGTGGTCCGCTTGACCAATTAATATATTACAATTAATTAAGGTTTTAGTTGAGATAAAAAAGTCAATGGCACGAGCAGGATTCGAACCCACGATCTTCGGCTTGATACGCCGCTGCTCTACCACTTGAGTGGATCAAGGTCACGATAGCTCAAGTGGTTAGAGCAGCGGCGTATCAATCCGAAGATCGTGGGTTCGAATCCCGCTCATGCCATTGACTTTTTTTATCTCAACTAAAAACCTTAATTAATTGTAATAAATAATAATTAATTGAAAAATGTTAATTGGTCAGTCTGACCACGAACTGTAATGGAGTTAATAAAAATATAGAATCAGTTGATCAGTGTTAATTAATAACGAAATAATGCACATTAACAACCTTATATATGTGCAAATAAATAGACTGTGCTTTGAATAAATTTAAGGAAATTGAGCTTGCTGTTTTATGAGGCTAAAATGGCCAAGATACATAAATGTAATTATGTATATTCAGTATGGCAAATTTCCCCTTTGCCTTCACACAGGAATTTAATGTAAATCAATTTACCATCATTTGATAGCAGAGTAAATGAATCCCCCCCCATTTTTTTAAATTTCAAATACACTCTTAACAAAAATTCACATATAAACGCAAACAATTTTTATTTAATTTGTAAAAATCATCTTTGACATAATTAATTCTAGCCTATATAATGTTTTATCAGCATTAAAAAAATATTCTTGCTGTTGTTAGTAACTATTTTTGGCTTAAATCACATTTTTATGAAGCAAAAATTGAATCACTTACATTATTCAAAAACGTTGAATACAAATTCAAATTCTCATAATACATTTTTCCAATTTTTATCCTATAAGATTTCTGGAGAATAATTTTAGTTGATAGATTTGTACAGGTAAAAATTTTCAAATATAATTTAGAATAGAGTCCATTTATGTTTAGAGGTCATAATTGACCATATTAATTATTCTTTTTCTGTTTTTGGTTGAGATGAAAAATTAGTGTCATGAGAGGGATGCGAACCCACGACCTTCGGTTCAATACGCCATTGCTCTAACTACTTGAGCTATCGTGACATGAAATCACGATAGCTCAAGTGGTTAGAGCACCAGTGTATTGAACCGAAGGATGTGGGTTTGAATACCTCTCGAGACACTAACTTTTTCATTTCAATCCAAAATCTTACATAAAAAGATTAATTATTTGAAATAATCTAAAAATCTAAAACAGTACATAAAGGGACATAGGCAGTTCAGTTATGTTATAAATGACAATACATAACATCATTAATAAATGTGTTTGTAAAAAAAATCTTCAATAAATACATTATAAAATGTTTAACAAAGCATGTTTCTGTTTCAGGAGAAGGAGTAGGGACGAAAAACTGGAGATCGAATCAACATGGGGCTATTCAAGTGGCCTATCGAGGTAATGATGCAAAACAAAAATATTGATATTGAAAAAAACATACGTTTAATATAACAAACATTGTATATTTGACACTTGTTAGAATTCTTAAAATAATGTAGAATTCATAATGGTATTAAAAATCAGCCAAATTCCAAAACACCCACAACCACTATGAGCATAAAATTCACCCTTAGTTTCTGTGATCAACCCAATTACATTTTTGCTAAGGGATACAATGACGTTTTATGTTAATGCTTGTCATTCTTTGGTTGTTTCGAATATTTAATAGATCGACCACAAGACAAATTTGCATGCTTTTGGATTAATAAAGCTTTTTAATAATATTACAACTTTTCTTTATCTCTCTTATCTCACAGGCATTCATGAATAATTCAAGGAGATTGCATTGTTCAGTCTTTAAAAAGCTTGTTCTAACAACCAAGGGAGTAATCGGTTATTAGTTTTCTGCCGTATCACTTTATCTATTGCCAACTGTAGATATTATTGTATCATTTGATTAATTATAAAATAACTATAAATAAAGATACACATACGTCCTGTAGTTTAAAAAACTTTTTTTTAAATTCAATCATCATTATTAAAGAATTGTTTTATTACATTTAAAACATAGAAAACGGAAAATAGTCACAAATATTTGACATAAAAAGAACAAGCCATTAGTCATAATGACATTTCTTTATTTATATTTTTTTTAACTTGATAGTTTATTTCATGATAATTGCATAACTGAGTAGTATGTATGTGGTTGCATCAAACTTTTCGGTGATGGTTTTTATATTAACTTGGTGGAAGTCTAATAAATTGGTAAATGTAATCTAACAGCATAATTGGTGGCATCGGTGGCCACAACAGTTTAAGCATTGGCCCAGTGCTCATCACTGTAAGATAAAGGTCCCGGGTTCGAATCCAGCAAACCGACATATTGACAGGGCCTTTTTTTTTTCAAAACCACCAGCACCCTGAGGGTCGATGCTGTTGTGAACCCTCATTAAACAAAAATTTAATAATTAATAATAATAAAATTTCAATAAATATAATTATTTATGTGTGTAAATGTAGTATGTATAAATATTTTATAACAGAATTTTTTAAAATTTCAATAAGCAAACACATTCAAAATTGACATTCCATATTACTCAGCAATAATGGTTAAAAGAAAAATATAACCCAAAACGATTTTAATCGTAAATAATGAAACTTGTATATATTTTTTTATACAAAAATTTTGCATTTAAAAAAAAAAAATCGGTGGAAAAACTTCATGTCATTGTAATTACATAAGTTTCCCAGGTAATCTTTTACTTGACAATGAACATTACACTGAAAATGCATTATTTACAATAATTGCCAAATGAGCAGGGAACCATTTTTTATGTACAAACTAGTGAAATGGTATTTTGTACACAAAGGGCTTTAAAACAAAAAAACTTTTTTGTTTGCAAAGTTTCTTTTAATCCAAGCATTTAGCATATACTGCACTCTTGGTTTGTTGGACTCGTAGTACTACCAGGAGCCTAAAATTTAAATTAGTAAAGAATTTTGTTTAATAATATAACTTTTCATAAACGTTCCTATGACTGGCAATTTATTCGCGTAAATTTATGTTGTTTAAGTTTGTTTTGTTAAATGATTAATATCTATCGGAAAAATTCAACAAAAATAAAATTAAATTAATACTGTTTAGTCAGTCCTCAGTGTCTTAAGATGATTTAACTAATTGTCTTTAGTAATCAACTCAGTATTTATATTGAAATACTAATAATAACCAAATCAAAGTGATAATTTTATATATCAGTATAGATCAAAATACCCAGTGCGACTATCAACTGGCCTTTATGATGATTTCTTAACAAACAACAGATGATTTAATAAAGACTCAGAATTAAAAAATGAATAAACTGTCTGAAAATAAAAAATCATCAACATTTGTTACTTCGTCAGAGTGGTCAGCTTGACTCATAGACCCTGCGGCGTTGGGTTCAATCCCCACCATTGCCCTTGGCCTTTTTTTTCTGGTATCCTTCCAACTATTCTTTCACCTACTTAGAACAATTTTTCTGGCAAATATTACATAATATGCAAGGACATAAAACCATTAAAAAATAAATATTTTTTAAGAAAAATTGAAAACCAATCAAAAAATTGTAAATTTTTTTCCATTGAGACTACCTTTTGCTAAAATTATAAAAAATATTGAGAAAAAATTTATTATAAAATGCACTCACTCTCAATAATTATTATGCTTAATGTCTCCCTGCAGCAGAAATTTGTGGATCACCTTGTTTTTAAAAATGTATCGGTGTAATAATTAGTTTTAACTTTTTTTTTTAATCTTCTAGTTTTTATTTACAAACCACACCTGGCACATCATTTTGAGTACACCAACAAATTCCTATTTTCTTAGTGAAATAATATCATGCATGGTCCAATCACCTTTAAACAACAAATAAATTGTAAATAGTTTTAAACTAATACAAAATGAAAATAAAAAAAATAGATAAACAATCGAATACTCCCTTTCAAGAGGTCCAATGTGAGAACAATGGAGTGCCCTTGGAAAAAGATGGGTGCTGGTGATGATGATGATGATGATTGTGGCACTGTGGTGTTTAAAATGCACTGGTTTGGGCCGATGGTGCTGCCTTGTTAGTGGCTAGGGGGGAGGGAACAAGTCCGTTGCCACCTATGAGACTATCTACAACTGAAGATCGAGGCAAGCCACGGGATGGTGATACTACAGCCCAGCTGACCCACCCTGATGACGACGAGACAACCCTAAGGCAGTTGCTTATGAGGTAAATGTATTATCATTATTATTATTGTTGTGTTAATAAATTGGGAGAATCATGATATATGAAAATATAGATAATTCTGTTCTTTTTCTTTCTTTTTTCTTTTGTAAAATTGTGCTTTGAACACCTTGTCCTTCCCCCCTCTGATCCATCTCATTTGTATTACACTTGCATTTTGCTCTATTCACAACATGTCAATAGTTTGTAATCTCATAATCACATTGAGCTATAAGCTTGCATGAGATGCTGATTTATATATATATTTATAATTATCTATAATAAATATATATATATAATATTTATTATAATACTACACCATGCGACAAGTGTTCTAAAACCACAATGATTTAATAGCTTCACTGCATTTGGTAGCATTTTATGGTCTGAATTTTCTTCTGATGTCAGAGCTCAACAAATAACCTTTCAAGATTGGAAAATTTTTACTGATGTTGTAAGTTTAAAAATGTTATATGCAATATCGATATAGATTTTGCGTTATACTTTGATTAATTCTTAGTATTACAATACTGATCACTAGGGAGCAGAGCGGATTTTTATGTATTAAAAAATTCAAAATATGAACATAAATATGTCTTTATATTTGACAAAATATGTATTTATTGTTTGGTAAAATGTGTAATATAAAATGAAAAATATTTAAAAATCAATAACAAAATAAAGTTGGTCTAATTAAAAGAACAATTTTTAAATAAGCAAAACAAAATTGAAACTAATTGTAAAATTATTGGGAATGACGACATTTCAACTTTTCAAAATTCAAACAGCGACGATCAGGTCTTAAAATGGATTTGTATCTGCTAAAGGAGCGTTCCATATCTACCAATGTTATTGAACTTAAAATTTCATTTAGATTTAAATTCATTTCTGGTCCTGATGTTTCTACATGTACAAGAGATGTAACATTGTAAAATATGTACTTAAAAAAATATAAATTGGAGGAAACAGTTTTTAAAAAATAATTTGCCCTAAAATATGCAACAACATGTTTTAAATTGCTTCAAAATGTCATAAAACATCATAGCATGTTGTAATATGTCAATATTTGCCTTTTAAAAATATATAAGCCCATAAAAATCCTCTCCCTAATGATCATGAACATCAATATCTCTTTTTTTTGTGTGTGCATTAAAACTAAATTTGTAATAATTACTTTCCCCTATTTCAATTTTTAAATACAGTACAGTTTTTAGTCCAAATAATTTTTTGTGTATGTATCAGTATAAATTGTGATTAATTTTTAAAAAAATCCCAACTTTAAAATAACGTGGAATGCCTTACCTTATTAATTAATTTCAATTCTTAAGCTTACAATAAAATTGTTATTTAAATTGTATCATAGATCATCTTCCTTGTTGTTAGTCTGGAGTCATAGTTATTTTGGTCCTATACTTTTTCCAATAAGATGCTATGCACACATTACCCTATTTCCCTTAAGAAAACAAAACGGAAAGCTAACTTCTGACCAACCCCCTTTCCATTATCACCCTTTCTCAAAGAGCATACATAAATGGACGGACACGGAACAGGAAAACTTCCATCGGAGTTGGCATGGAGTCAAAATTCAACTGTCTTCAGAATTCAGATTCAGACTAACAGCAGCTAGTTTCAGAGGGAAGATCAGTTTTGATCGAATGGATTATAAACGTTCAACAATTTATCATAAATTTTTTTTTTTACCAAATTAATTTTTTATCTTCATAAAGTAAGACTTTGTTGATGAATAATATACTATTGGTTAAAAATAACGTTAACATGTAATGTTTAAATATAGCAACTATTTAGCACAATATTGCTTACATGCCAAATTTAAAACACACTTCACTTAAACAATTTTACTTTTTTTTCAGACTAGTACAGTTTCTGATTAGCTTATTTTCATTGGCACAGTTTGACAAGCCTGTTGTATTTTATTTTCTTGTCCATACACAACATTTACATTCTTCATGTGTGTTGATCTGTTTTAAAAACTATTGAACACATTTTTCATTATTATCCTGCGACAACAGCCTCCTTACCAATTTATTTATTTATTTTGTTGCCTTAAAATAAACGTGGAATTAAGATTACTTATGTCGATTTATGTCCTTGTTTCAAGCCGATGGTCTACAACACTTTTTATACTGCTGCACCAAGCTCAATGCAACACCAAGTGCCACAGGCTGGTCAACGTCCCCGGTAAACTTATGGACAGACCGTCACAATAGGTGTGCTCTCTCACAATCTAATTCACCTCTACAGGTGCTTATTAACAAAGAATTGCCCTTTATATTTAATAATACCTGCTCTTTTCATTTCTAATCAATGATCTGCACACCACACACTCATGAGAAAAAGCGTCTCACGATAAATGTATTATCATTGCATGTACCTGTTTAGAAATTCAAAATATATCATACATGAAATAGGATGAGTCAAATTAGCAAAAATCACATTAAAAAAATGTCAAATATGTAATTGGTTGAGGTATTAATAAGCACATAAATTGAGCCTTTTAGTTTGTGTTTTTTAATGATAGATTAGCAGGAGGGCTGTTTTTTTTTTTTGTTTTTTTTTTAACTAAATTGCCCAAGGACATTATTCCTCTTTTTATTTTAAGTTTATTTTAAAAAAATTTACTGACAAAATATAGCTATCACCATTAAAAAATACAAGTCTCTAGCTTTTTAATCCAAATCTAATACATATTTATATTGTGCATATTTTTGATAGTTTCATTACTGTGCTATCATTTATTGTTGTTTGCTGTTAGATAGTGTTTAATTTTCATTGCACTGCTTCAAAATTTTTTACAAGCTTTATTTCAGTGCTGTCAAAATGGCTGAAACTATAAAAATTTAAACGTGTTTGCTTTATTTAAGTTGTTTAACCTTCGCCTATTGCAAGTTTTTGGTTATTTTAGACCTAGCCATCTATATAAACAATGCTGAATTAATATTTAATCTTGATCAACTTGATCTTGATGCACTGCCTTGCTGTAATGATTTTATGTGGGGAAAAAACCACCATTTCGATTACACTTTGTTATATATGTTGATGTCTGACACGACAAACCATTTTTAAAAAAATTTCAGTTCTGCAAACAAAAAATTATCCCAAATCACCTTTTATTCAGCTATAATAAAACATTCATTACATTTTGTTGAATCTAATGTAATACAACTAAATAATTTAATACATAATTAGAAATATCATTTTTCACCATATATCCAAGACTTTGGTTATTAACTATAACAAAATAACTGAAACAGCCCATTGGATTTTAAAAAAAAAAGAAAAAAACTTTGTCCCAAACCCTGCCTCATTTCCCACTCTCACGCATGCTTGCAATTCTTTTCTTGTTGAGTTATTGCACATTATTTATCATCAGCTAATGCAACTCCACTTCACATCTATTTTCCAGTGTCACTTTTAGTTGATCATTACCCAGAAACAAATTAACCATCAGTACGAATCCTGTTCCATTAATAATCAACTGTTTGTCTCTCATCATGATTTCTCCCGTTTCAAGGTAAATCTGCCACAAGCACATTGTTAAGATGATATTTATTATGTTGTGATCAATTTTAAAAAGAAGTTTACGAACCTAAATGTCTTATCTAGCAAATTTTAATTTAACTTGAAAATACTTTCTCTCAGCTCTATTTTTAGTGACTGCTGCTATGTACACTATTTTAGATGTAATTGTCTTATATTTTCAATAACAATTGAACAGTTTTATACAAAATAATGAGACAAATAATTTTTTGCCCCTACATCAACTAAATCAGGTAATCCATTATTTGAACCTTGAATCAAGTTTGGCAATATTGTCTTTTTTTCTTACTATTCATAATGAAAAACTGGTTTAGAATTCTGCTGGACAGACCACATACATGATGCTTTACTTCATACCCTATGTATGGAATTCCAGAAGAAAAATACTGCATGCCCCTTAAGAGTCAATGATGCCTAGTACAATTTTGGGGTATCGAGCTATAGCAGCTTATTGCATATGAATGCTGTTTTTATAATTACAAACATAAATTATGAAATAGTCTATTTTCCAAAATTACAAATTTCATTGGTTAAGCGCAATAGGGAAGTTTTGTTTTGTTTTTTAGAAAATATAAATAATTGTAATGTTATTTTTTAATGATAAAGAAGTTCAAAAATATGTTTTATTTTGTATGGAACAGTCTGCAGAAGCAGGTGACAGTGATGAGCGTCAACTTGAACGCCAAGTTGGACGAACTCCAGCGTTCAGACCGACAGCTGGAGACGACAGTGGCATTGTGTGAGATAAGGTCCCAGCTCCAGGAGTTGACAAAATCTGTCGAATCGTGTCAGTCTGAGGTGTCGGAAGTGAAGAGGGACATGGTGGCAATAAAGCATGAGGTTGACACGTTCCAGCAGGTCAAAGAGCAGATTGAAGAGCTCAAAGTATTTGTCGATAGACTAGATGAACAGACTCACAGGCGGAAGCTAAGGCTACTGGAGCAGGTCCTACTAATAATCAAAATCAAAATTTTTAAAACTTATTAGTCAATTTCCAATTTTTTTTCTAGTTTGTGTTTACTTAAAAATAGATCAACATTTTCTAATAATTTTTCAGTAGTGATTTTTTTCTACTTTAAATTTTATACAACTATAATTTCTGTGAACTTTTCATTTATTTTTTGATTGTAATGAATCCATATAAACAGCTATTATTTTGATTGAGCAACAAGATTCAAACTAAGCCATCTTTATTATTAATTATTATTATTATGCATACAAAATAAAACTTAAGATCTTCGTAATTTTTAAACTTGAATTTGAAATATGGTATTGTTTTTATTGCAACTTAGGACAACAGAAAAGAGGTAAAAGGTGATAAATCCTCAGACAATATTTTTATATACATTTTTTGCTGAATATAATTTGCTACTTAAATGTTCACAAACAAAAGGAAAGAAATGATCACCGGTTAAAATAATTATCTCAATATAAGCAATGTATTTTACACAATCCAGAAACCCTTCACTTGTAAGAAAGAGTTGACTGATTGCAAATACGTTTGATTTTTTTTTTTTTTTTAATTGTTGAACCAGTATTTTAAACTTAAAATATTTCACTCTGTCAAATAATTCACACACAGCACATTAATTTTTGTTTCACACTTTTATTTTGTACAATGTTAATTTTATACACATATGTATATCAAACAACGTACTAAGTTCTGAAAAATGACAAATTTGAGCATGAGTGTCAAAGGCATGTCCTGAGCACAAAAAATTTTGAAAAAATCATTGACAAAAAAGTTGGTAATACACTTTTGATTCATTTATTACACATTTGACATTACTTGCTATTCAAGTTTCAGTTTTAATATATATTATTTTGAATATACAATTGACAAAAGAGATAAACAAAGAGAAAAGAAAATGGAGACCATGAATAAGTCCACCTTCATTATTTCCATACCTCTCATTATCTGATTATATTACCTCGATGAAACAACTTAATAAAAGCATTAAATTATTAGGAATAATTTAATAATTACACGCTAGTAAATTGTTAACAATTTTTTTATTACCTAAATACGTTGGAACATATTATATTATGTCATTCATTTAATACCTACCAACAATCAATTGAACTGCTTTATAGCATAAATGTATATGTGTGTATAAACACAGATTTTATTTTGGCAAAGTGCTCAATCAAAATTGATAGCATTTCCATTTATTTATTTACTTTTTTTCTTTCTTCTATTTACAAGAACAATAGGAAACCATAAAACAATATTTATTATTTACATTTTCGCATGAAGCATTTCTTGTTTCCTGAGCATGATTTAAAAATATAAATTGGGAATTTCTATGTTGTTTCATTTTTTATTTATTTATTTTTTCAATATACAAACATAAAATTGTTAGATAAAAAAAGTGTATTTGATTTTAGCTTTTTGTTTTGTTTATTTTTCAGTGTCAAGGTTATTTTGATGTATTTGTTTTCATAAACAAGGCTAAAGGTAAAATAAAGTTTCTTTAGTTTTTTTTTCCTATTTTTGTTATTTTTAAAATATGTGTTCCGTTTTCATTTGTCAATTTACTAATCCCAAAGATATGAATGAAAGGCATGAACTTGTGTCCAATTTTCAAATGGGTTGCTCGCAATGTAATTCACGTGTGCATAATAAAAACACTTGAACTAACAGTATTAAAAAAATTTTGCACGTATTAATTGCACGGCTTTTAACAATGATTATTTTCAGCCAAGATTAGAAATCTACTTTAAAATGTCCTCCCGTACATGTACATAAGTATGTTGTTATGTTTTTTATTCTCACACTTGAGTTTGTAGTTATGAACCACAGTGTTGTGTACAAAGTAAATAAAACATTCTAGTATTTAAATAATATGGATAGGTTTTTTGATTAATTATATAAGCCCTTAACTGCTATCTTATCACAATCCACAATAAATTAAATTTTAAATTGCTTTAGAAAATATAATTCATGTTTTCATACTTTTTAATTGATTGTGGTTCCAGTAGTTCTGAAGATTTTTTTTCATTTTTAAAATGAATGGTGTAATTTTCTTAAACAGTTGCAGTACAAATTAGGATTTAAATCAAACATTTTTTATTTTTGTAATTTTCAGGGATTAACATTCTTTCTGTCTTACACAATAATGGCTTCTATGCTCGGGATGTTCCAATTTGGGTACAACACAGGTGTCATCAATGCTCCAGAAAACGTAAGCAGTTTCTTCCATTATAATAATGTTATACGTCTTTGTCACCATCTCATACATTTCACGTTTGATAACAGAATATTGAAAAATTTATGAGAGACGTCTACAGGGATAGAAATAAAAAGGATTTGCAAGAAGATTCTGCTAAACTTATGTATTCCTTCGCCGTGTCGATATTTGCAATAGGTGGAATGATTGGAGGATTCAGTGGTGGTGCAGTCGCTAACAAGTTCGGAAGGTAGTTCAATAAGAAATCAGCTTTTTTTTCCATCTTCCTAATCTATTGTCTTATTTATGTTGCTATTAGTCTAAAATTTGCCAGCTAACTTATCTGTGTTCACAACTGAGGATCATTTATAATAATAATTTGTTTGAGGTTTATTCCTTTAGATTTTTTTAAACAGTCGTAATTTAAATAACTTTTTTTAATTTTAGGAAAGGGGGTCTGCTGATAAACAATTTTGTGGGGATCAGTGGAGCGGCTATGATGGCCTTTACAAAAGCATGTAATTCATATGAAATGCTTTTCCTAGGAAGGTTCATTATTGGTGTTAACTGTGGTACGTACATTAAAATAACTCAAACTGGTATTTTTTCTTCTTTTTTTAATTCATATTTTTGTTTTGTTATAGGTTTAAACACTTCCCTTGTGCCTATGTACATATCTGAGATAGCTCCATTAAATCTAAGAGGAGGTTTAGGGACTGTGAATCAACTGGCTGTGACAGTTGGATTACTGATATCTCAGATCTTAGGTATAGATGAAATTTTAGGAACAGACGATGGTTGGCCTGTTCTATTAGGTAAGCATATTGTTATATTGTGTCCGAAAAATAATGCCAAGTCTCCATGAGATCTCTTCTGTGATATTGAGTCTTTACCTCGAATTTTATGAATATAGAACCTAAAAATATAATTTTTTTTAAATTGAAATGAAAATAAACATTGTTGGGTGGATTTCATATTTCATTCTAGAGTTTTCTTCTGCCTAAGTATATTCTATCTTTAATAAATCCACATTTGCAAGAAAAGTAATCTGTTGGTCGTAACCCACAAGCCGGACAGCACTTAAAACATTAGACCTCGTTGATTTACATAAAGCATTTTCTCTCATAAAAAAAGAGTAATTTTAGTTCAATATCAAGCATCCAAAATTTCTATTAGAGCTATTCTTATAATCTTTAAATTGCAGTTTCATGTCCCATTTTGCAGCACTCAGCATACTTGTCATACTTTTTTTCTTTTCAATGCTAAATAGTGCCATTGCCAGAAAAATCTTTCAAAAGACAGAATGCAATTTTAGAAAAAGTAACGTCTACATACAACAAAACCCAAATGTAGATTGTAAACAGTGCAAGAATTATTTGTAGTTACTTTAACTAATTCAAAAACAGTGGAAAAAAATATGCCACACAATGATTATCAAAAATAAATAGCTAGTGATGATTAGAAAACTTCATTTAATTGCATTATCTCATAGATTAAAAATTAGCTCTCAGATTTTAGAAAAAGTAACTTCTGCACACAATAAATCCCAAATGTCTGTAAAACAGGGCAAGAATTATTTGTAGTTACTTTTACCTAATTCAAAAACTGTTGAAAAAAAATATGGCACACAATAATTATCAAAACAAATACCTAGTGATCATTAGAAAAACTTCACCGTTTAATCACATTATCTTGTAAATTAAAAATTAGCTCTCAGATTTTAGAAAAAGTAACTTTTACACACAATAAAACCCAAATGTTGGCTGTAAACAGGGCAAGAATTATTTGTAATTTCTTTTAACTAATTCAAAAACTGTGATAAAAAAAATATGCCACACAATGATTATCAAAACAAATAGTTAGTGGTCATTAGAAAACTTCACCATTTAATTGTATTATCTCATAGATTAAAAATTAGCTCTCAGATTTTAGAAAAAGTAACTTTTACACACAATAAAACCCAAATGTTGGCTGTAAACAGGGCAAGAATTATTTGTAATTTCTTTTAACTAATTCAAAAACTGTGATAAAAAAAATATGTCACACAATGATTATCAAAACAAATAGCTAGTGATCATTAGAAAAACTTCACCATTTAATCGCATTATGTCGTACATTAAAAATTAGCTCTCAGACAGAAAAAATAACTTCTACACACAATAAAACCCAAATGTTGACTGTAAACAGGGCAAGAATTATTTGTAGTTACTTTTACCCAATTCAAAAACTGTGTAAAAAAATATGCCACATAATGATTATCAAAACAAATATCTAGTGATCATTAGAAAAACTTCATAATTTAATCGCATTCTCTCGTAAATTAAAAATTATCTGTCAGAATCATTGTAATACCAAAATTTCATTGCAAACTTAGGGTACTATTTTTTAAAAGTTTGGGTAAGATTTTTTGGGATTTAAAATTTTTAAATTTGCCTATCTACTCATGATATTGAGAAAATGGAGTGTGACATTGTTTCGTACACTCTGTATATTATTGTTGGAAACTTTAACGATTTTTGGCATTTTAGGTTTAGCTATTTGCCCTGCTGTAATACAGCTTATCCTTCTTCCAATTTGCCCTGAATCACCAAGATACCTGCTCATTACGAAACAATGGGAGGAAGAAGCACGGAAAGGTATTATTTAATGTAAATTTGGCCTTTGGTTGTTTAACTACTTTAGTTGTTATTTGCGACAGCCTTAAGAAGGTTGCGAGCTTCAAACCAAGTTGAGGAGGATATTGAAGAGATGAGGGCAGAGCAGAGAGCTCAACAAAGTGAAAATACAGTTTCAATATCTGAGCTGATCTGCTCACCAACCCTTAGGCAACCTCTAATAATCAGCATAGTTATGCAGTTGTCCCAACAACTGTCAGGGATTATTGCTGTGAGTTCCTACAATATATTATAAATCAGTTTATCGGTTAATTTGAATCGATTCCTTTCTGTTTAGGTTTTTTATTATTCCACGGATATTTTTATGAACTCAGGGCTTTCAGAAGAAATAGCTAAAGACATGACCATTGGAATCGGTGCCATAATGGTTATAATGACTTTAGCGACTGTCCCACTGATGGACAGAATGGGTAGACGGACTCTTCATTTATATGGTCTCGGAGGAATGTTTATATTCTCAATATTCATAACAATCTCATTCCTAATAAAAGTGAGTATACTTTTTAATCGACATTTTATCTTTTAAATAAATCGCCCATGAAAATAAATGTTTTTTATATTAAATTTTTTTAATTAATAAAAATGATTTTTGCTAGATTATAATTAACATTTTCCCAGATGAGAATTGTGAAGTTGATATGATTTGAACCAGTTTTTGTAGAACTGAATCAAATATATATATAATTCACTAATTTCGTGGTCCGCTTGACCAGTTAATACATTACAATTAATTAAGAAATTATTGAATTTAATTTATTTATTAATTATTGAAAAATGGCAAAAAGGAGGGAAAACTCATAAGGTGGGGTTGAGATAGGAAGTTGATGTCCGAGTGGATCGAGGTCACGATAGCTCAAGTGGTAGAGCAGCGGCGTATCTAGCCGAAGATCGTGGATTCGAATCCCGCTCGTGCCATTAACTTTTTTTCATCTCAACTAAAAACCTTAATTAATTGTAATATATATATAATTATATTACCAAATATCACTAATCAATTATTGTTATATAGTTAATTTTATAACAATTTAATACTTAATTTGCTAAAGTTAGTATGATACTTTATTAAAAATTTACCTCAAACATTTTTTTTAATAAAAAGTCTAGTATCTCCTTAGGGTACTATTTATAATAATATCATTTATACCTATAAAACTTTTTTAAAAATCTATTTATGTACTTTTCTTCCAAAAGATAAGGTTAATTATATTAGGTATATACATACGTATGTGCATGCACTGCCCAATGTTATTTTAATTTGCATATTTCCTATGTTCATTAATTTTTTAGTTCATTATCATTTATTTTATTTTACACATTTCTGCCTTTTCAATGTTCATTCCAGAATCAATATGAAAAGCAGATTTGTGTCAATTATTTATTATGATTTTGCTTTTTAAATCTCCCTCCCTGTTCAATTGTATAAAGCCTCTTCTTTCGTAAATGAATTCCATGGTGGCTCAGATTTTATTTTATTTCTATTTTATTTATTTTTTCTGAGTCAATCATTGGTTTTCAATCTCGTCAGAAGGGGCTGAACAGAATTCTACGCCCTGATAGGAGTTTTTCGGTTATGTACAGGAAATGATAGACTGGATGTCATATTTGTCCGTCGCATCAACATTAATGTTTGTGGTGTTCTTTGCCCTTGGCCCGGGCTCAATCCCTTGGCTCATTACTGCGGAGCTCTTCTCCCAGGGGCCAAGGCCTACTGCAATGTCCATTGCGGTCCTTGTCAATTGGCTGGCGAACTTCCTTGTCGGAATCGGTTTTAAACCGATGCAGGTAAAGACACTGTATTATTATAATTATTTAATAAGTAACTAATCACTTAACCATTTGTGTTTATTTTCATTTCTTAATAATTATTTATTTCAGATGTTTTTCCCAATTTTTACTAGTAACAGCATTTTAAATCAATTATTACTACACTGAGAGGCAAAAAAGTGGCCTCCCATGTTTTTCACCCTGGCCGCATACACCTGACTTTTTCCATCTTCCAGAAACACTATGATTCTAGTTGAATCTGTACAACTTAAAACTATAACCCAAACAAATTTGAAACTTAAAAATAGTACAACTTTTAAAAAAATCAAACTACTCGTTAGAAAGAAGCTATTAAAAAAAATTAAATTTAAATAAAAAAGTTTGACTATTCAAAGATAAAATAAGTGGGATATTTTATCTGTGTTTTATTTATCTCTAATCCTTTGAAACAGACCAACTATTGCTGTAAGATAATCAATGGAGGATTGTGAAAGAGATAATTAAAAATATTAAGGTGGCCACTTTTTTTGCTTCTCATCATAGTATAATTATTTTTAAAAAAAGCTATTAAATTAATCAGGGAACCCCTCTCCTCCATTCTCAATTAACTTTATTACTGAATTGTACTTCATTTCTCCTTTTCTGAGATATATCAAATTTTTGAAATCGTCACACCGGAATAAAGAATATATTTTTTCCTTTTTCAGCGATGCTTAGAAAATTACACTTTTCTGCCATTTGCTGTACTCCTTGCTGGTTTCTGGATCTTCACGTACAAAAAGGTCCCAGAAACAAAAAACAAAACCTTTGAAGAAATTCTGGTATTGTTTAGGAATAACAATGGAAGGTAAGGCACACAACAGTTTTAGCTTGTTAATGTTTTTGTTGTTGCTGTTTTTTTCTTTTTCTTTTTCTTTTTCTTTTTTTTATAACAATAATTATTCTGTAAAATTTTTTTGTAAATAAAACAGTATTTACACAGTTAAACAATTATATGGTTTATTTTATTTTAATTAAAACACTACAATTCTAAAATTTTCATCCTAACTTAACCATATATATTATACATAATTGTATTATTTTATGTATGTAAATAATTTTTCTGTGTAAACACCTTTAATTAGAAGAAAAGAAATTTTACCACTTTTTATTTTATTATACGTAGTTGTATTATCTAAATTATTTAGTCTCTAGCTGAAGTTCATTGCACACATCCACTTATGCATTTTGTCATATTTTTTATCAAACTAATCTATATTTTAAAAATATTTTTTCTTCATAACTTTTAACAAGATTTATGAATTGAAGAGATCTCTTTAAAGACAGAATTTTGGATTATTGTCTAATCTATGAAATAATTCTTAGTTAATTAAGAAGAGCTTAGATAGAAAACAAGTAAGCTGAAACAAGCTTTGTTAAAAAAAAAAAATTACATCATAGTCTTGGTAAACAATAATCATAATACTGATGTTGACAGGGCTTGATGTATTTATTCTTTTTGATTCCTCACTCCAAGGAATATCGAGTACTCTGGGGTTGAGTATGTCGTCCGGAGAGGAAAAGTAATTAATATGAATAAAGGGTTTAAACTCGCCCTGAGGAATATCGATTACTCTGGAGTGAATGTGACCAAAATTGTCTTGTTATGGTTGGTGAAAGGAGATCCGTATTGTCAGAATATCCAGAACCACGACGCCAGATGTGCACTTCCAGTTATCTCGTGGGGGCAGAGTCAGGGGCTTTGTCGGCTGCTTTACCTGGGCATTGTGGATGGTTCCTCTATGCACTGTCTGGTTGTTTCAGCCGGGAGCCCTTGTCGTTAGCGATGTTTCCGGGGGAGGTGGGAAACATGAAGTCTTTATTTGTTTGTGTTTTCTTGTTATTTTAATACTTATTTGACAACCTGAGCAAGTTAAGAAAACAAGAGACCAATTGAGATAGTTACAAAGATATGTGAAAAAAAAATTTGTTTAAGGCGCAGGCAGCAATAGCCACTTGATGTTTGTCGGCCCATAAATTGGCCAACATACTACTAAAGTTAATTTTATTGACAACTTAAAGACATACTATAATATATAAAACACGTGCAAAACTACATAATTATTTATTGTAGGAATTTAACAGATTAACTTCTGTCTAACTTAATTATTATGTGTTTACAATAATTGTTAATATTATATTAATGTTCATAATTATGCATCAAAGAGGAAGTTTGCGAGACAATAGGCTCTATGGGTAAGTTGAAGCATTTTGAATTTAATGCATGGCTCTTAATTTTTTTGGTTTTTAGTGTTTATTTAATGTTTTTTATATTTTTTTAAATTCTAATAAAAGTACAGTTTATAATTTAATAGCATGTATATTTGATTTTCTAGTCGATTCTATTCATTGATAATTTTGTTGAAAATAATAATAAAGTAATTAAAAAGCACATACACTTATGTGTATTACACATGTAAATTCGATATGAGCACGATGTGCTAAAACACGCCTTTTAGCATAATATAAAAACAAAACAGTAGAAAAAATAATGAGCGGAGTGAGAGTTTACTTGGTTGTTTCTTTTTGTTTGTTTTATTTTGATTTATAGTTTTAAGAAATTGATTTTTCAAATTTTGGGTGTTGGGTTGCTAATCAAAAACATTAGTTTTTCTATTTTATTTTATTATTTATTTATTTTATTTTAAGAATGAGTATTATTAATAAATGAACAATATAAAAGTTGAAAACAATTGAGTAAATACAAAAAAAGTATAACGTATGCATGGGATAGGCTGGCCGGGGCATCCAAGACAGACTCTTGGCAGCTGAGTGTTTCCCACTCACTCAGTCTTTTGATCATCTCACATTTCAGAGTTCCAACATAACGACAACCCTGTGGATATGGCCTTCTCAGTCCTCACCAAAATTAATCGAACTTCAGAACTGTTCATTATCCATAATATGCACTTTCTACCACTTGTATCATACACTGTACTAAGATATTTGAAAAATATACATATATGCATACATATATGTTTAAATATAGAATGTGTTATTTAAAACTTCTCTTTTTTTTATGTGTGGGCAGAACAAGAGAATTGTATTTAAGATATTGCTCATTAATTTAAAAAAAAAAACATTTTTGAGAGGAGAATGGATTTTGTTAATAATTATTCATATTGTAAATGTTGTATCTTCATTTATTTTTCCTATTTTATGATCTGTTGTAATATAAAATTGAAGTATAACTGTATATGATATACAAACAGACTGCAATAATAGAAAAGTGCCTGCCTTTAAAAAAAAAAATATATTAATCATATTTAATTATGTAAACCCTTTGTGTAATATGATTTCTTATCAAAATTATTCTTCTTTTTTTATCTCTCTAATATTTTTGAATATTGTAGAAAAAAAACTGTTAAATTGAGAGAAAGAGAGAGAGAAAGCGAGAGAAAGAGAGAGTAAGAGATACTAATTTAAAAAATTAAAATTTAAAAAAAATTAATAAAGGGTATTGTTATAAATATTATATAGAAAGGAAGGTGTGCTACCTCTGTTTGCAGGAGCACGCTTAACTGTGTGAATTCATTAGAGCAACGATTAGCGACAACAGAGCGCTCAACGGTCAACCCTCTCCCTCAATCATGTAAGCATTTAATGACAAAGTTCCATTTATTTTATACATTGACGCCCAGTGTTTTAAATATGTGTGATTTGTTCTATAAATATACATCAATCTATTTGTATCGTTTTTTTGTTTTCCGTTTATTTAGTTCTTTTCTTTAATTTTTTGAAGTAGTTGATAATTTTTTTTTGTGTAATTTATTTGGAATGTAACTTTCGTCTATGACATGGGTGACAATCATTTTGACTAGATTGTTGAACTTATTCTTTACATAGAGATACACAGTAAATAAAATTTTGCTTGTTTGTCCCGCCATTCATGTAAATAATGCTTTATTTCATACTATAACATATATATGTTATGAAAATAGCATAACTTATATGTTTAAAACATTTCAACAATGTTTTTACAGCCAAAAAGAAACAGACAAAATTTTATTTCCCTGATTTTATCTTTTAATGAGGGGTTTGTGTTATGTAATGTAAATGTTTAAAACATTACTGGCCATGTGTAAGTATTACACTTGTACAAAAAAAAAAAAAAAATGGGGAAAATGCACGTGAAAAGTTGTTGACACTTGGTCCAGGTCCAATTCACTGTAATCCATTGAGCATGTTAAATTATTTATACTGTTAGTCATCTATTTAAAAATATATATATAATAAAATTAAAATAAAGTGAATTGAATAGGCCAAGATCAATTGAGAACGCTGCTTGTGTAATACTTGTCAGTAAATATACTGTTGTTTCTAATTCTTCAATTTTGCTGAAATAATACAATGTATACTCAATAGCTGGGAAATTTCTACCTGTCACATGTACAATGCATTTTTGTTTGAATTCAGACAGTTTTTTTGTTTTTTTGTTTTTTTTTATTATTATTAATTCATCTCAACCCAATATGTTAACTAATTTGACTGCGATGTTGTATGCAATATCTCAAATAATTAAACTGGAATCTTTTTTACCAATTTAAGTTAATGTACCAGATGTGGAGTAACCAAGAACTAGTGTTTCTGTCCTCTTTCCTCTATTGACCTATTTTTTAGTTTATGCTTAGTGTTTGATAACATGTTACAGGATTGTTTGTCTAAAATTAGTTGATTCCTCAGGAAGAGATAAATATTAATATTTGTTTGATTTTTTTTTTACAAGCATTCAAACCACGAGGCAACAATAGAAAATGTTTTCATGAGTGTAGTGCATGAACTTGTGATTTTGTTAATTAAAAATTAATTTTGTTGTTCTAATTATTTTTAATTGCGTAAAAAATACGTAATGAACAACAAAAATCATTAACCTCAAATGTACTAATACAATTCACCACAGATAAATAGAAATTTTTGATAAATAATCCAAAACGTGCAACTTAGTGAAAAAAAAGACAAATGAAGTAATATTATAAGTATAGATTTGTAATACTTCGCATAAAAATATCTAATAAGAAAAAAAAAGCCAAAACCCCTCAAACATGGTAAAATCAGATTTACATAATCATTACTGAACAAAATACATTTGTTTTGCATGTTTTACTCGTGAAAATATTTTGGTGTCTTTATTAATTTCTCCATTAAAAAAAAAAAATTTTGGAGATCAAAAAGAATGCATGTTATGCCTTATGTATTCATCAGTTAAAACTAGATCCATTGTGTTATTGTATATTGACAACTAATAACAACACCTAATCATTTCTGCTCATACCATTGTTGTAATATATTTCCAGTCCTGTAATTTTTGTTGTATTACTGTTTGTTTGTAATTCACAACATTGCCTGAGTGACTTTTGTTATCCGTGAAAACTTTTTCTTTCTAGTGTTCAGACCTCTTCTATGTTTAGTTTGGCAAATTCCTTATCCCATTTCCATTAGAATATCAAAAAGTTTATTTTTTTATTTATTTTTTTATTCAGTTATTTTTTTAATGTGTATGTATTGATGAAAAAGGTTTGTAATGTCTCTTTTCTTTTTAACAAGTCATAAAATAAACAAAAACAAAGGTTTTTGCACAGTGGGGTAATACAAAAACTGCATGGAATTAGTGAAGCTTTGCCATGGTTGCATGCTTAACAATCTAAGGAAAATCTTGGATCTGATAATAATAAACACTAACCATTTAATGATTACAGTCATTCCTTTTAGTTCTTTTTATTTAGCCTTGAAATAAAGTATATATAAATAAACAAAGTTGCAAACGGGGAAATTATTGACAAAGACATTCAAAAGAAAAAACTAACTAGAAAATGTGAACAAGATAATTTTTTTCCAGTTTGATGTAAATAATAAATCACACTGGCATGAAAAAAATTGCAATCACTATCATCTTTTTTTTTTTTTTTTTCAAATTATAGGCACTTTTACATAAACTTGCATTATTTTCAACATTTCTCTCACTCCTTTAGTATTTTTTTTCCTTTATATTAAAAGAGATGTTTATGTGAAACAGTGCTGTGCCCGTGTGAGAGAAAGATGTTCCTATCAAGTAAATACAATCTCAGACGACATTCATCCTACATTTCTGTGCCAGGTATGCTCTATAGAAACAGAGCAACAGAGCACCATAAATAAATATAACTATGTTCATAAAACCACAGCTTCTCTCACATTGAAATATTTAAAAAATAAAACGCTTACGTATATTTTGCATGGTATATTCACATTTTTTAAATTTATTTTAATATATACATGTTCAAGCTCTCTTGACTAATTCCATACAAAACAGATGGAATAAATCTTAATAAACCTGAAATTTTTAATTTCAATTTCTACAAATAGCACTAGATTTACATTGTAATCTCATATTTATTCCCTCATAGAACTTGTAACATTTCAACACCAATCTTCAAAATACTGTGTTCAAATGATATTTAAACAACCTGAAATTCATTTTGGGTTCATAATTAATATATCAAAATGTTCTTCAGAATTTTTTTTTTTTCAATTTGTACGATAAATGGTTCTGCCTACATGTTATTTTTATAATTTAAAAATGTTACCAAACTTTTATGTTACTGCATTGAAGTTTGGTTTGTCATTCTTCTGTTCTTTATATTTTCACTTTTTTTTCCATTCTTTTCATAATCACTACATTTAGTCAAAAATCCAGTAATGTTTCTTTCCCTTTTCGATTTTACAAACCCACTGTTGTATTTACTTAATATACTAAATAATTAATTAAGGTTTTCAGTTGAAATAAAAAAGTCAATGGCACAAGCGGGATTCGAACTCACAATCTTCGGCTTGATACGCCGCTGCTCTACCACTTGAGCTTTCATGACCTCGATCCACTCGGACATCAACCTCCCATCTCAACCACACCTTTTGAATTTTCTCTCCTTTTTGCTCCTATCGTGGTCATGATAGCTCAAGTGGTAGAGCAGCGGTGTATCAAGCCGAAGATCGTGGGTTCAAATCCCACTCGTGCAATTGACTTTTTTATCTCAACTGAAAACCTTAATTAATTGTAAGATATTAATTGGTCAAACGGACCACGAAACTAGTGAATTTAATAAATATTAAATAATATTTCCATATCACTACACTTTTGTCTGGTTTTGTCATAAAATTAAATAATTAGTGTTAATGAAAGAAAATTACATTAAATAAATCCTTATTTGATAGTAGATATCAAATTATCTATCAACTCTTACAAATTAAATGTACTGTAATTTATTTTATTTTTTAATAGATAAATTTCCATTTGGCATGAAAAGTCAAAATGAGCAAATCCCCTAATGGTAAAAAATTAACAAATAAAAAATAAACTAATAAATGTATAAAACATTAGAACAATTTAAAATGTATAGGTAGAACCTTTATACATTATGTACACTTGAATATTAATCATTTTCAGATTAGAACTAGGTTCTTTTGGTCAAATTAGTCAAATGTTCAAGTTAATAATAATGATCATTTTTCTTCTTTTTTTTTACTTTACATAATGTTTTAAAGCAATTAGCTAAATGACAAACCTATTTTTTTACTCCAGACCTAGTTCTAAATCCTTTAAATCCCGTTCCTCCTTAAGAAATAAAAAAGGCAAAAAGTCTAATATTTTTATATTTCATTGCATCCTGTTTTTTTTTTCTCTCAAAAATTTCGTTATACATATACGTACACATATATCTCAGAGAAAACAGAGAAAAAGAGAGAGAATGAGAGAGAGGGTGATTATTCTTACTTAAATGCTATTGTCTTTTATATTTTTATATTTTACTCCACAATAACCGAATAATAAATATGATATTGGAAAAAAAACCAATGCTGAAAGCATGCTGTACAGTTATATATGTATTTTGAGGATTGGTGGAAGAGAAGGGGGCATTTAGATGTGTGTGAAGTGGTACAGGTGTCTGGCTGACCTAAGGAAATGTGTGTTACAGTTGCTTCCGAGCATTTTTCTCAAGATCTGGGTCAACCCGTAAGGCCCCCTCCCCCACTACCTCCGCCACGCCACCCGAACAACGGTGTCTGACAATGGAGCCGTCTCCTTCGTAACATCTACAACCCCAGAATGAACACATTATGCCGACAGGCAAACAACAAAGAGATCACATTTCTGCATCCTTCTTTCATCGTATTCGACGCCTCTCCCATGTGTACGCTGTTTTGTTGTTTAATTGCAACTAGGGCCAACATCTCTAACAAAAATTTTTAAAAAATTAATAAAACAACTATCTGTAAATTGCTCACTCTGCAAAAAAAAAATATATATACATATATTCACAGATATGTGTATATATATTCACATTTCAAAATACGATTATTTTCTTTTATTTATTTCTTTTTCTTTTTTTTTTTAATTAACAAAATATATGTACGGGAACACTCGTGCGTTATACTGGACATGTGTACATCTTGTGTGATTAGGGTGTAAATAAATGAATAAAAATTAATTTATAAAAGACTTATTTAAAAAAAAAATTGTACTATTAGTAGTGTGAGTAGATGAAAAGACACTGCCAAGTAGATGATGTTGCAGTCAAGGAGAGGGTGAGGGGTATCCGAGACCTCGATGGAACTTCTCAAAAGATCAGCATGTCTCGCCCACATATTAGTTAACACCGTTTGCTCACTAATCCAGCTGCCAAACAACATTTAGACATTTTCATACTTTATGACTCTTCCTTGTAGATATGTTATTGTTAAATATGTTTGTTTTCATTAATTTGGATTTGTATTATTTACTTTGATGGTTAATTTTGATTTTCTTTCATTTCCGGTTATTTTATTCCATGTATGTAGTTGTTTTCTTTTAAATTAACAAAAAAGCCATCTTGTGAAATTAAATAAATAGATACAAATGGTATTTATATACTTTCACTAGGCTTTGGAATTATTTTGAAAAAAATCTATTAGAGAATATGCAAGATATCAGTTTTATGTATATCTTGTAATTATAAAAAGTTACCTTTTTAGCATTTATAATTGTAACCGTCAATATAATGTATTATATTCGGCAAATTGATTAAGAATGCACCAAGTCAAAGTTGCCTGCAGCGATGTTAATAAACAATTTTATGTGGGTAATGTGAAATGTGATATTAATTCTTATTAATCGTGCATTTGAAAATATGGTATAATGATTATTACGAGTATAAATATAAAAAGTACGTGCGTTTATAAATACCTTTTGTTGCCTGCTTAGTTGATTGTGTTGAATAATTTTGTTTTGAAAATTTAAACTTCAATGAGTTTTATGTGAATCAAAAATTAATATAATTGAATTTATGTATTTTGATGCATGTATGATTGTGCCAATAGAGTGCCACAAAATGCTTCTATAGTCGTTATTTTTTATTGTAACATATAATTATCAAATTATTGTAATGTTGTTTATTACTTATTGTCCGAAGCTTTTTTCTAAGGTAAATTGGGTCCACCCGATTTTTAATTTATTGTAACATCCTAGAGTAAATTTTTTTTTGTTTTTTTTTTTTTTAAGAAAATATTATTATTACATTGCTTTATTGAAATAATACGTTTCATTTTTACCTAATCATCAGTAACGTGAATAAAATTTTGCATCTGAAATATCTACCTTATTTATAAATTACACAAGTATTTCAAAATACTGATGAATCATTCATCAATTTATTTAATTATTTTCTTATAAGTTAAGTTATAATCTATTTTATTTTGAAATTAACTAATAATTTCCACAAACTGCAGGCAACTAATTGAAAATTATCTCTTATGAGATGTATATAACATTAAAATCGATTTAAAAAAATTAAATTCTTGGTGAGATTATTATTAGTCAATAGAAATATAATTACAGAAAGCCAAACATTCAACATTTAGACAGGTTGCAATTTGAAACTAATTAAAAACATAAATTATACAACAAATTTATTTAAAAAATATATATAAATATATATATATGACACTTTTTGTAAATAGGTCTCAATGCTCAAAATGTAGATACAAAATAATTTTGTATTTATTTCAGATCCAAATTAATTACATTCTAAATCGTTATTAAAAAAAAAATCATTCATTATTTACTAAGATACCATAAAGTATGTATGCAATTGTATCACAATTACTAATTTAAAGGCTAATGGTGTTTATTTCGATTTTGATATAAAGTTGTTCCTGTACAAAATAAATGAGAAGATCAGCTAATAAATTATTATATTGTTGAATAAAGAAAAAAGTTTTTAAATTTGTAAATTTAATCTTCTTCGTTGTGCTGATTACAATTGAAATAGTTTCTTTTCATATTCATTTTACATAAAGTCAATATTTCAATAGTTTTGTTAATATTTTACTGGGTTTTTTCTTTATGAATAATTAATAATTAATGATAATAATATGTTGATCTTCTCATTGTTGGATCACTCAAATATGCAGATTTTGGGAAAGGCTTAAACTATGTTTTGTCAAATAATTTCAGTTTTATTTTCATTTTTGATCATTTTTTGTTTTCTTTTTTTTTTAATTTTACACAAAATTATTATTTGTTTGTTTGTTATTTCAATAGTATTGTTTGTTTCACGTTTACTCTGAGTAGTAATTTTGCAAATGAAATTTCAAGGAAAGGTCCTTTATTCTTTCTCTCTGTGATATCTTTAACATGTATTAAAAAATTATTATTATAATGTAAACAAAAATACTACATTTATAATAAATTGGAGTGAGGCAACCATTATCACACATCAAATGTAATAAATTTCTTAGTTAATAAAAACAATGCAAATGATTAGTAATTAGACATACAATTCAAAAAAAACTTGCCGATTGAATATTAGCAATTAGGCCTATTATAGACTATCAGGGCTCATCAATAACACTATATGAAAAAATGAATAAAATGTAAAAATGTCTAGTCAATTGTGATTTATGGAATGTAGGCCTCTTTCGCTCCGAGGTGACTTCATTAAAATGGATCAGGCTTGACGCGCCTGTCCGATAGGACGCTTGTCCGAAGTGAAATGTTATTCTAAATGTAAATATTGTTACTAATGTATATTTCTTTTAAAACAAACATTATATGTTACTTTTATAAGTTGGATATTTTTAACCTGATAATGTATGTATGGTATTTAGTGAAGATTATAATATAACAATTATCTAGTCAAAAGGCGTAGATATATCTCTAAAAATTTGAGGAGTACTGAAAGCGTTCCTCTAACAAATGTAATTAATTTTTAAAAAAATTAAAAAAGTAAGTTTCATTTTAAACTATAAAATGTGTATTTGGCATGTTGTTAATAACTGTCTGTAGAAAATAACAATTGATTCTAAATTTTTTTATATTTTAGACAGTTGTTATCAATAACTTCAAATACAAATAATCATTTTCAAATTATAAAATAGAGGTTTAAACAAAATTAAAAAAAAAATATTGTGTTAAAGGAAATTATTGATGCAACACCAACAAAGAACGGTTTGCAAAAAATAATTATACAATTTTTTCTTCTTTCGATTTTAATTTGATATGTACTTTTGTTTTACTATTTCAAATTGCACAATATTCATTCTTTAAGTATTATACAATTAATAGCAATTAAAATATGTAATCTTGACTGGTTTTGGTCTTGATTGTATAGAATGTTTCAAGAAATGCAATAAAATTATTCTATCTCTTTATTTTGGCTATGTACTTTCATTCCAAAATATTTTTTTATCCCATGTTATGGTCTTCCTGTTTATAATTTTATAAAATGACAACTATTACAATTTTTTCGTTGGGCTGTTAAACCTTTTATTTATTATTTTAATTGAGTCCAATTTTTTTAAGATAGCAAAATTGTGAAGTATTATAGCAAGGTCTATGTGGTGATGAAGTTGAAATCTCCAATCACTGTGATCAGCCTATTCTCGCAGTTTTTCTTGAGCAAAAATAGAACCCTTTTGTGGTGACTGCCTATGATTTACTTAGGTTCTCAACAGGCATACTGCCACTTCAACACCCTGCTGCTAATAAGCAAAGGCTCAAATCAGACTTGACAAGTTTTCTAATTTATTTATTTTAAAGGTTGGTTAGGATTAGGATAATTTTACATATCAATGTGTTTTCGTCAAGCAGAAGCCAGTGGAATTTGCAATTTTTTTTGTTTCAGTTTGTTTCTAGTGTCCATGATTCTGACACTGACTTTTTTCCACTTTAATTAATTGGCCTTTTGATTGATTGGCTACGTTAAACAATTGTTGCTTCGACAGAATTATAACAGAACCACTGAAGATGGTGAAATGTCGAAACAGGACTGAAAGAAAAAATCAGTCAGAATAGCTGACCAGAATGACAAAGCTACAAAGTCGAAAAGGTCGAGACCATAGTGATTTAAGATATAAAAGTTTTATGTATTTATATTTTAAAGAGAACATATGAGTCACTAGATGGTATTTAGAAAAAATACTCTTAAATCGAATAGAAAAACCATTCGTAGTGTACAAATAAAAAAATTTAAATCAAAAAGGACATATATGTTCAAAAATTAACGCAGTATATGCCAGTTAAAAATATGTGTGGTTGAATATAATTATGTATGCATACATGTTTGAGTGTGTGTTTAATATGCCAAACTGATAATAAGTATTGGGAAAATTGGTTGTTGGCATTTCATAAAGCTCATAGCAGATCTATTGAAAAAATGAAAAAAAAATATTTCAAAAAAGTATGTTTTCTTCAAGCAGAACTGAGTGGAAAGTGCAAGTGTTTTTCCTTTTTTCATTTCAAACATTTTCTTTTTTTCTAGTATCCATGATTCTTACACTTTTTCCGCTTTGTCATTTTGATTGATTGGCTGTGTTAAACAATTGCTGCCTCAACAAAATTATAGCAAAACGCTAAGAACAAAACACCTGAAGATGGTTGAAGAAATGCCGAAACAGAATTAACAGACAAAATCATTCAGAATAGGCTGACCAGGATGACAAAGCTACAAAACAGAACATGTTGATACCATGGTGATCTAAGTTGTAAAAGTTATTTTATAGACAACCCAGGAGTCACTGGATGGTATTCAAGAAAAACTGAGGCTAGAAAAAATACTCTTAACTCAATTGGAAAAACCATTTGTAGTTTATTCAAGCAATAAAAAATTTTAAATTAAAAAGGACAAATATGTACCAAAAATTAATGCAGTAGATACTAGCTATAAATATGTGTGGTTGTATATAATTATGTATGCATACGTGTTTATGTGTGTGTGTGTGTGTATAATAAGCCAAACTTATAATACACATTACGAAAATTGGTTGTTTGCATTTTGTAAAGCTCAAGCTCATAGCAAATTTTTCAGCTTTTCATTGTATCTGTTCTATAGAAAAAAATTCAAAAAAGCCACACTATAAAAAGCAGCACAGCACTGCAAATTGAGACCGAAATTTGCAGTGCTGTGCTGCTTTTTTAAATGTGGCTTTTTTTGAATTTTTTTCTATAGAACTGATACCCATAAAAAAAGCCACATTAAAAAAAGCAGCACAGTACTGCAAATTTCGGTCTCTTTGTTGGTGATAAGAACTGCTTTTATTTGAGACTTCCAAAAGGAAAAAAAAATGTTTCAGATCTTGCAGATTCCCTTGGCTGGAGAGATGTTTCAGATCTATCTTCTGGGAAACATTAACCTTATCTTTTTACGTATTTACATAATCTTAAAATATTTTTACATTATTATTAAAAATTTCTTTCAAATTGTTTTTATTTATTTATTTTTTGCTAAGATCTTTAACAGCATTATAAAAAGGATGATAAAAATAAATAAATTCAATAAAATTTAATTTTACAATATTTATATCTATGTACAGTACAAACATTTACAAAACAAAAGTGAAATAATAGAGCATAAGTTAATTATGTATTCAGTTTACTTATTTCTTCATAAGGTAACCCCTTTACTATTTTTCCGTTCAAAGGACCAGATGCAATTTTAACGTCCACGCAATACCTGTCTGAGAAAATTTCTAACAGTTCTGCTTTAACACCACGGTAGGCTCCATTGAGTATTTTGACTTTCCTCCCAATCGCTGGTATGACGGTTTCCAAGTGAGCTTGGTCAAGTTTTAGCTTGGCTCCAGTATCAAACATGCGAACGACCCCAACATATTTGTCGATGACTTCTTCCACGACTCCCTTTTTATTCTCATACTTCTCTCCAAGCGACTTTGTGACCACTTTGACAACAATGTCTGTTTCAAGCCAGTAATCTCTCTTGCGTACTTTACTCCTCCGCCTTTCCTCTTCTTCCATTATTTCATCTAATGCACTTTTTCTCTTTTCTTCTTTCTTATTGAATTCCTTTTCTTTTTTTTGCACTTTCAGTTTTGCTAGGGCAGACGACTTAAGATCGACGGGTTCGGGTTTTTTAAATACAGGTAGCTCAAGAGTGATTTTTTCATCGCTGTTCCTTACAAGATCAGTCGGCACATGCTCCTCTGCACTTTTGCATGCCTGTTTACCCCGTTCGATTTGCTTTTCAAGAAACTCCATCATTCTCTCATTATCGTCCTTGTCCATTTTTTCCTTCCGAGCAATAGCTTCTTGCATCCGGATAGTTTCTGGGTCTCTGTCGATGTAGGTGACGAACCATCCTTTTTCCGTCTCGTCGACGATACACTTGCCTTCCCTGCCGAGCCATTTGACAAAACCGGTGAGAGTCACCCATCTGGTTGAATTCATGTGAAGGTGGTGTCGATCTGAAATATACTCCTGGTAGACTCTATTCGCATGTACCCTCTTCGTCCCAAACCGTCGCTTAAGTAGATCTAAATAACCATCAGCAAACTCTTTGCTGAACTGGCCTAAATATCTGTTCTGATTGTCGGCAAATAAAAGGAGCTGCCTCTGATGCGATTCAGAAGTTATGTGACATTTGAACCCATTTTCATCCCTGCACTGCTTCTGACACATTTGGCAGTACCATCGTAATTTTTGAAGTCCTTTGGCCTATTAAACAAATACAAATAAAATAGATTAATGAACAATTGACAAAATATTCTAAAACTAGATATAACTTCATACATACATTTTTTACTTTTACAAAAATATGTAAATATTTTAAATGAGCAGACAGTATAGGTGTATGTGAAAAATTATGAAATGGTGATACCAACTTTCTACAAGAAAATGATATCTAGATGAACAGTGGATATTTTGTTAAATAACTATGTTATATTAATAATTTTTCATGTTATTCCAATAGACTCTCTACACTATGGGCCATGATAGGCCAATGCACTGGCCACCAAGTTGACCAAGGGCTTGGCTCCACACACTGGACCAATACATGAATCAACCTTTGGCCCAAGACTAGGCCAGCAATGGCCTAGTTGCTTACTTTTCCTGTGTCGTGATGGATACCGAGGTCAAGTAAATCGCTGCTGCATCTTTGGCTTGGATGAATAATTGCTATTTACATGTTATTTCCTGGTTGGAAGCGACAAACAATGGACGACTACTGTTGGCCTAGGGTATAGACACGACTCACACATTGTTGGCGCACATTGGCCTCCTTTGATGTGTTAAGTTGATATTTATCGGGTTGTCCGGAAAATAATGCAGGATTTTAAGTTTTCATTAAAAAAAATCTATATAAAATATTCTGTTTACGTTTACAGGATTACTCATTTGTATGAATGTCNATATATTATATTTATATATTAGAATTATATGAAATTAAATTAAATGTAGGGGACCGCGATAGCCGAGTGGTTAGCATGAGAGACTCTCACGCCACGGTCGTGGGTTCGATTCCCACCGTCGCCTCTGGCCCTTTTTTCCCGATAACCCCCAATTTGTACACACAAGAATTCGTACCATGGCTAATATGCAAGATCATAAGGCCAATAAAAAAAAATAAAATAAAAAATAAATAAAAAAAAAGTTAAATGTAATGACTATTTAGAAATCATGAGATGCGGTCTGGCGTGATGTGGGTTTAGTTATGTTAATACAAAAGCATCTGTTGGCAGAGCGGAAAAAATCACAAGATTGACACAACTCAAAGTTAACAGCACGAGGTCGAGCTCTGTGAACTTAAAAGCAGGCAAGACATACAATGTATGAGAAATGTTTAATGTTTAAAAGCAATTGCTAAATTAGGCATTTGATATTGAGAATATATTATGTATAGCCATATCTAAGAAGTTTGTTCCATCAAGAAACGGGTGAAAATGGAAAACTTCACGTCCCGAATCTTAACCGGGCATGGTGACTGCGGACAGGCTCCATTTTTTCAGACTTAAAGACTCGCAAATGTAGAGTGTGAAATGGCAGCACATGTAAACTTTGGGTGCGCCAAATATGATGACCTGCGTGTTACACAGCTGTACGAAGTCGGTGAGGACTTCATGGGTGCCTTGAAGAAAGCTGTCCCCTCATGAGTAAACTACGCAGCCACAGCGCGGTTAACCCAAGTAATTATGCAACAACAAAAATTGGTCTTAAAAAAGAGTAAAATGTAATAACAGGAAATCTAAATGAAAGCATTATTACCTCACCCTCCCACAGTATCCCAACTGGATCCTAAAATCGCTAAGATCCAGCAGGAGGGCGAGAAGTATGACTGCTAGGTAGTGAATATCTTGCGTGATACCTTAAGATAAGGCTGGCAAACGTAGAAAGAACAAAGAAACACCTAGCCACAACTAATAACTATTATTCAGACTTTAACACATTCAACTTAAATATATCGAATTTTTTCATTATATCCTTGGATAGAAATATATATTTTTTAATGAATATTTAAGTTTTCAGTTATCGTCAATCACCAACAGACCAGTAGAATCGTTTGTACAGGGGTTTCCAGAGGACAAAACATCCACAGTCCATCTGAATCGAAATCAAACATTTACCAATAACTAAAACAGTTTAATAAATTTAAAGTCACCTTTATCTTATTGGCGATGTATTTTGGCGTCCCTGGTTCGTGTTTGCCCATCTCAGCCCTCGATCAAAAACTCCAAAATCCAAATGAAATTGAAAACAGAAGAACCTCCCAACCACAACAAAGTGTTGGTGAGGCTGAGGAGTAGTGAGTACTGAGTAGTGACTCAATGACCGCTTCAGGCACAATCCGCCTCAATGACCATTTTCAATGACGTCCCCTCACGTTTTCCCAACCGGCAAGCCTTTTTGATTTTAAACCACATGAGCGTTGGTCACTTTTTCAAAAGAAATGTGTACACCAGAAAAACTGTGTAAGTATAAAGAATAATAATGTATATTTTCCAGTAAAAATGTAAGTTAAGTTTAAAAGTTATTTGCGGAGCAGCCTATTGATTATTAATCTGGTGGACCAATGCTCAAAAAAAAGTATCTACTCAAACGTTAAGCAGCATACAAAGACTAGCAAACAGGGGCAATGAGAACAACCCTACAAGGGCACTAGAAACTCAGCTAAACTTACCTCCACTGGAAACATTTACACAAGGAGAGGCTAGGAAAAGTTCATTTAGGCTCCAAAAAAATCAAATTGGATAGGAAGTAGGAACTAAACAATTCAGGGATACAACCATAATTAACAAAATCAGACACCCTTTCTTAGAAATGATTCCGAAAACATTCTTTACAATATCCTATAAAGACTCAACGAACTATATAGGAGAGGAAGAACACAGGAGAGATCAGATACAATGATATGGTATACAGATGGCTCCAAAACAAACGAAGGAACCAAATCAGGCGTTTTCTATACAAGCCCAAAACATGAGCAATCAAACTCATTAGGGAAGTACACTTCGATCTTTCAAGCAGAAATACATGCCATCAATGCTTGTGTCCTGGAAAATCGAAAAAGAGGGTACACTGGCAAAAAAATCCTCTAAGATCTGATAGCCAAGCAGCCATTATAAAGCATTAGCATGTAAAAGAATGACTTCAAAATTAGACAGTGAATGCATCCAAAATCTCCAAAACCTGGGGAAACAACAACCCGATGGGTGTCAGTGCAAAGAGTAATTTTGGTTAACGAGAAAGCAGACTGGCCAGAGGAGGACCTGCAAGACCATACATAAGTCCTGAACCTATACTTGAGATAAAAAAATTATATTTATATATACAATAAACTTATGATGAAACAACCCTCACCAAGACTGGCAAATTCACTGCAGCAATTATTTAGTGACAGTTAATTAATGATTATTTGGAGTGCATGTGATCTTGTGTGATGTAGGTTTAAAAAAACTTTTTCTTTATTGTGCCAACGTTTCGACCTTTATTTAGATCATCTTCAGGGCACAAAGGGTGCGTCTTCTGTGTACATGTGTCATGGTTGTGTGTCGTGTTCGGAGTGTTGAGAGACCGCATCTCACGAGTTCCAAATAATCTTTAACTGTAATTTTGATTGTCTGTTGAGTAGATGTAGATGTAGATATAATGTTTCAGGGTATGGTATACTGCGCCCTTTAAGAGCTATTGTATCCCCCGTGATCTGCCTAAAGCACATCGGTGAGTCCTATTTCATCAAGAAACTTGATTAATAGGCCCAGTTTCAGTGGTTGTAGTTCTTCTATGGTCACATTGTACATCCCAAAACACTTCCTCCTGCGGGCTAATGTAGCTCCGCAGTTTGTTAGTAAGTGTGTTGGTGTCTCTTCTGCTTCCTTGCAGAATCTACATGTGCCATCTTGGATTATTCCAATTTTCTTTAGATGTCCATTTAATCTACAGTGTCCTGTCAGGAATCCTGTTAGGATTCGCAGTCTATTCCTGCTTCCTGTGACACATTCTGTGATTTCTTTCTTGCCAAAATTGGTTAGAAGATTCTTGGATTGTCTATGTCCAATAAGTAAATTCCAAAGTTCGCTCATTTTTTATTTGTCCTTCTGTCTGAGATATTCGTTAATAGTGTGGATTCCTATGCCACAGAAGGGTTCGGGTCCTATCAGCGGTGTGGCAGCCCCTTTCCTTGCAAGGGTGTCCGCTTTCTCGTTGCCTTCTACTCCCATATGTCCTGGGACCCAGCAGAGGCTGACTTTATTCTGCGTACCTAAAATGTTTGGTTTTGCAGTTCAGCACCATCCTTGAACTAATGGTATTTGAGGTTAGTGCTTTGATGGCTGCTTGGCTATCTGACATGATAGCTATATTCTTGTTTTTGTATCCTCTATTTAAATTGAATTGAATTGAATCTCAGCTTGGAAGATACTGGTGTGCTTTCCCATGGGTTCTGAGTATTTGGTTCCAGGTCCAAACACTCCTGCCCCCGTCTGTTGAGTAGGTAATAAAGCATTTTGAATTGTTTGTTGAGTGTCTGCTTTTTTAATCGTGAGGGTGGATTCCAAGTTACTCTTTTAACAAATGTAAGTTCTAAATAGTTGACTTTGTCAGATTTAGGAATAAGTTGTATAAGTATATGCTTGGACAATCTCACGACGGAGTGTAAAGGTGATATGTTGTGACTGAGGGATTAAACTTTATTTTCTATATTTTTTAAAGATTGCTCCATTTTTCAATTGTTGATATGTGGTTTTGTAACTTAAGTGAAGCTTGTGTAGTAGACTATATGGCGGTGTTCTCATTTGTGGGCATATCAGAAATAAAAATTACAGCGGAGCGAGTATTGACCCTTGTGGCACACCTGCAACCACTTCCTCCATCCCAGACGTCTCCGTACCATGTTTTATGAGAAAAATCTCTCCTTAAGGTATGAGGTTGTATAAGACGAAAGTAAGTTTGTAATATGTTGATTTGTCATGAGCGCTCCCTGTGGAACATCAGCATCAATCGGCTCTAAGCGCCGGTGAACGATCTTTGCCGAGGTGTGTGTACTGTGTAATACATTTTTTGGTATGGCTGTCCCGGAAAGGTGTCCTAGTCTGTACTTCTTGTTTGATTACATTTTTGTTTATCCGTCTTTGAGTTTTTCTTTCGGTAAAAATTTCCAGTTTGACTTAAGGTCAGCGTCGAATTTTTAGACGCCGCTCCTCAGCCTTGTCGTCGCGCCCGCCTCCGAGCCGAGCCGCCGTTCTCTTTGTAATAATTTTCGTTTTGTCGAGCCTGCTCGGGCTGGTTGACGTAAGCAAGCAGAGGTGAGCGGAGGAAGAAGGCGTTGGCATTTTTCCCATTTTCCCACCGCTTTTCCGCGTTTTGACACGGCCCAACTCCCTTCTACGCCTTCGTTTTCCCTTTTGAGGTCTCGGAAAAGGGCCTTTTTCCAATTTTCATTCCGTTAACCGTCGGGACGTAACGGCGTAAATAATGTCACCATCAATTTGTCTATTAACCTGTATTACATTCTGAATTTTATTCCCTTCGTTTAGTTTTTGAAATTTTAAAGGATCGTTTCCGTTTCTACAAGGTGACTCGCCAAAATGCTTAAATTCATCCGAGGTAAAGGACATCAGCCGTCTGCAGAAAGGCAGAAGCTCCAAAAAGAATTATTCGCATTCAGAAAGGTAATTGTTCTTTTACTCATAAAATCAGTGGATAAATCATATCCAAACATCCCGAAAACCACTCACTTTGAAACCGGCTCGAACCAGACAATTAGTGTCGAGTATTCAATTAAGCATTCCTTAGTAACTTAACTGATTTTATAGTACCTACAGCCTCTCACGGTCGGCAATGTTACATAAATTTGCATTCGTATAGCTAGTTTACTACAGTAAAGACCACATACAGACGCGTTTGATCAATCATGTCGTCACGTCCATAAAACCATTATAATTTATTTTAACCCATTAATATATTCATTAATATGTTCATACATATTTGATCAATTGTTTGTTTAAGATAAATAGATTTGATCATTTCACCTTTAACTGGGTTGACAGTGTTAAAGAGAGGTCTTCAATCAATCAGGATTCATTTGATTAATCCTAGGACTTATTCTTTCAAGTCTATATTGATTAAGTCGGTTCATAATTATAGTTTAGATCGACGTAACAGTGAAATTTTTCATTCAAACAAATTTACAAGTTATAGATAGGGCTCCAATCATGATTCATTTGATCACTCATGCGATTTTATCCTTTAAAGGTGACAGATCTGTTCATTTCAACTTGTTTGTTGAATCATGATGGTATTCAGTCATTTGTTCTAGGCCTAGAAGTCCAATCAATCAAATAGTTTAATGATAATGTCAGCTGTTTGGTATTCGCTAAGACAGTTGACAAGATTGTACATACATAGGTCTCCAATCAATGATGTGATTCTTTCCCGTAAAGTCGACAAAACTGTTCATTTCAATTTATTGTACTCTGGGTTAATCACGATGGTATTCAGTCACTCGTTCTGGGTCCATAAGTTTTCAATCAATCAAATTGTTGAATTTAACAAATTCAGCTGTTTCGTATTTGCCAAGAAGGTTGACAAGATTTTATACACATAGGTCTCCAATCAATGATGATCCTTTTGATCAATGATGTGATTGTATCCCTTAAAGCCGACAAAACTGTTCATTTCAATCTATTGAACTCTGGGGTAATCATGATGGTATTCAGTCTGTATTTTTTATTTAAGCCATAATATTATCCCTCTATTTTTGTATCCAATGTACTTGGATGATTGATCATCCTGACAATGAATTTTAAGGACAACAAATTTATTTATGCTATTAGTTGTCATTTGTTTGTACTAATATAAAAATCAATGGCTATGTGAACATAATAGAGGTCAATGACCTGTGATGTTATATTAAATTTGCCTTAATAGGATTACATTGAATCTCTCCCTCTTCCCTTTCACTCACTACACCCCAAATTAAAAATTAATCTTGTATTTTGTATTTTTCAGCGTCTTAACTTATTATTCGAATATTTTTTTCACTGTTACTTGATATATCATTTGTGTTTAATGATCACTTATAACAGGTGGTCAAAACTTGTATTTTCACTTCTGAGTTCTTGCTTAATAAATGTGCATTTCTTGGTAATTCCATTGCATATTTATAGCTGTTCAGAATATTATCTCGGGTGCAAATTTATTTATTTATGACTACAAAAGAATGAATCTACAAGAAGAGCAGTAATAAAAAAAAAAGAAAAGGACTTAAACAATAATAACAAAAACATGGCTTAAAGATTTGTGGCATGTATACATTTTAATTTAATTTTAACTGAGTGCAAGGAATCATGACATACATCTGTTTCATTGGAAAAATAATTCAGCAATCTCATATCCTCGGTAGAGGGAATCTTAGTCCATATTCTGTTCAGCAATGTGGGATAAAGAACAATTTGTTGGATTGCTTACTTTATTGTAATAACGTAATTGTAATGCCAAATTATCTTACAACCAGAAGTGGAGATAAAAAAATGTTTATTTTCATAAGCTGTTCTTAGTCCGTTATCTAAAAGTTAATATCATTTCCTCAAGATTATTTTTTTCTTAAAATTTTGTCATGTGTAATTTTTATTTATAATTTGTCTGCTATAGACAATGATTTTACTAATATCAATCAGCCATTAAATTGACTAATTGTCATGGTAATACATTTGGCCATTGAATTTCATGTTACACCTAATTCAATTAGATTCTTAATTAGTACAATAATTTTTCTTTTGTTTATTTTTTACATTTTTTAATTAAAAATATATGATAAAAATGCCTTAAATGCAACAGTAACAGGTTCATAAAATTTAAAAATAATTGACCCTTATGAGATTTAATTTAAAAGTTCAAAAATTCATACACTGTATAAACCAACCACTTTAGCTTTAACAATTTGTCTATTGTTACTTTTGAGAATCGTGGTGGCTGAGCAGGTCATCTTGACTCGTTCTTGCCACTGTAATACATTTTACAGGTTCTGGGTTTGAATCCCAGCATAGACCTACATGGTGTGACCCTATATATACGAAACAAATAATTGAATGTTAATTAACATATAAATTCACTTTACTTACTTTTACCTGTGTGTGACACTGACATAGGAGACAGAATTCTTGTTCATTTCTGACAGAAGTGTAAAATGATTGAATTAAAAATAGTTTTTTAAAGTTTGATGGTACACAGAAAAGTAAAATACATATTACTTCTTGTTTTGACTTACAGACAACGAATTTTATCAATATCAAAGTAACATAAACAATCATATTGTTTATTTTTATTAAACAACTACTTCTACATAAGAAAAAAGGTTTTTTCTTCTTTATTTTTAGTTTAAAGATTGCTCCTCATTTCCCATTATGATTTATAAAAAAAAAAATCATTTATGATGAGTGCCACATAGGTCAGAGAGATAGATTTTTTTCGCATATTGCAGTGTGAACACTCATTGCATTCTTTGGTAAATAAGAAAAGTAAACATCATTATGAAATCTCGATAAGATGTAGAACTAACTTTAGCTTATCTGGTAAATGACTTTACCCGATAAATTTGTTGCAGTTTATTTTCATTAAAACACCATTAAAATCAATTTTCAAAAACAGCTTGAAAAGTTTTTTGTCCACAGAATTAAATATCTATTAAAATTGCTAATTCGATAATATAGTGTGATTATTAAAATAAAAATGATGGATTTATTTTAAAAAATAAATAACTTTTACTGCAACAATAATTTTTTATTCTTTCGATTAATTATTCTTTTTACCTAAGGTCTTGATTGAGATGAAAAAAATTAGTGTCATGAGTGGGATTTGAATCCACGACCTTCGGCTCAATATGCCTCTGCTCTGTCACGATAGCGCAAATGGTTAGAGAAGCAGCGTATTGAGCCAAAGGCTGTGGGTTCGAATCCCGTTCATAACACTAACTTTTTCACCTCAATCAGGACCTTAGATAAAAAGTATAATTAATTGAAATAAGTAATATGGTCAATTATGACTGCAAAAAAGAAAGCTACAAGGTCTTTCAAAATAACATTTTATTAAAATAGTAATAATAATAAATAAATAGAAATTTAATTTATTTAACATTAATTTAATTCTCTATTAAAATATTAATTCAGGACAAAGTTTGCATGTTTGTAAAGTTAAAATGGTTTGGTTTCTAGCATTTGAATACATTGCTGATACAATGTTTCCTTTTTAAATTAAAAGGTCAAGTGGCAATAAACATTTTTAAACTGCTATTGTTCATTTTTAAAATAAATATTCATTTTAAAAAAGTTTTCAAGTTAAAACATGTTTACAATTTTTTATTAAGCTAATTTTTTGCATTATGTTTTCAGACTGTACAGCATGGCTTTCCAAATAAGCCCACATGTCTTGCGTGGGACCCAATACTCCGGCTTATGGCTGTTGGTACGGCCACTGGCGCAGTTAAAGTGTATCCTCTTCCAAGTGAATCAAAACTATAAAATGTTTTATAGGATTTATTTATTTTAAAAAATCCCACAGACAGTTAACCATGCCTCCTTCTTAATGCTTGTATATATATTTATGTACTTTGTTTGGTCTTTTATTATTATTAATAAAGCATTAGTATTTTTACTATATTTAAAAAATCTGTTTTATTTTTAACTTAATTAAAAAAACAGTATTGGCCAGCCAGGTGTTGAATTTTATGGTCATCATTCAACTAACGATCTAGCTGTGACAAAACTGATCTTCATTCCAAATCAGGTACTTAATATCATTTTCTTGTTTTATTTATATTTTACAATATAATATAAATAAATATTTTAAATACATTAAACTTGGATCATTCCATTACTGTTAATTTATGTATAGATTTTCCCCAATTTTTAATCAGTTATAAAACAAATTTTATAAAATAATTTATCATAATTTTATGCAACTTACAGGGTAGAGTAGTTTCTCTCTGTGAGGACAATTCTTTGCATTTGTGGGAAATCAATGGATCATCCTTGGAAGAAGTCAAAACACAATCTCTTGAGGGAAAGTTCGTATTATTGTTTATAGTCTTTATTTAAATAAAAATGTTTTCTAGCGATTTTCTTATATCTTCTTGTTTTTTCTAGATTAAAAAAGGTGTCAGCATTATGTTTAGAAGGATCTTACGACCACCTTCTGCTTGGAACTGAAGGAGGGAATATTTATTTGTTGAACCTCGCTTCTTTTCAAATTCAGGACACAATCATATATCAAGATGTTGTTATGCAAAAGTATGTTTGATAGTTTTTCAAAATTTTACAAATAAACATTTAATGCTGTTAGGTTAAAAAAAAAAAAAAAAAAAAATTAGGCCATAGTGTTGATTTTTAATGGGTTTAATATGCTTGAAATGTCTCAACATGCTAATCAGTAACTAACATTTAACATTCAGATCGATAAATTAAAATTTGTTATTTTTGTTACATAACAGATCAACAAATCTTTTGTTTAATCTATTTGATTTTATTTGATAATGTTGATTGATTTTATTTTGTATTGAACAGCGTTCGGGAAGATTACAAGATAAATCCTGGGGCCGTGGAATCGATGGTTGTACAACCTGAAAACCCTGACCACCTTCTCATCGGGTACACACGTGGTCTGATGGTGCTGTGGAACATGAAAACGCCCGCAGCCGTGCAGACTTACATCAGCACACAGGGTGTTGAGAGTAGAACAACTGCCACAGTGCAAGCGCACACTAGCCCTCAAGGCGTGGAATGCCTCTGCTGGAAGGACAGCCAGACTTTCATTTCATCCCATAACGATGGCAGTTATGCTCAGTGGTCTGTCACTACTGGCAAGCATAAAGGACTACACACAGTTTACGGCCCCTTTCCCTGCAAGCCAATTACTAAAATCATTGCCACTGAGTAAGCTTTTTAAATTCGTTTACATAGCATAAAGAAGTTTTCATTTGTAAATGTATTATTTTTTTATTATTAATAAATTTTTCATGGGGTGTCGGTGGTTGCAATGGTTTGAATTTTTAGATTGCTCATCACTGGTAAAGGTCCCAGGTTCAAATCCAGCAGTTCTGCATTTGAATCCGACATACAAATGGGCTTTTTTCAAAACACTGGCACCCCGAGGGTTGATATGACCTCTACTGTTACGAACCCTCAAAAAAAAAAAAAGATTTTTTCATTGTATACAACATATATACATACATATTAATACATAAAAATACGTTTCAAGAATATGCATTAGTACATGGTATTTGTAGAAAAAGAATTGTTACTTGTATGTCATGTCTCTGCGGATGTAATTAAGTAAAATAAAAAGGTAATTTAATTTAATAGAATTTAATATTTTTAAACAATTTATTGTGAAAACAAACTACTTGAAAATGAAATAAACAAATCTTTCTTTCAACAAATTATAATACTGACTTATTTTCAAATCAAAATGTATTCCTTACATTAATACTACAACAAAATTAATGAAGAACTAAATGAATGATGAAATTAAATTTTTTGCAACTAAAAATTTTGTAAAACAATAAAGTAATAAACAGCCAAGATTAAGGAACAGGACTTACCTATTTTTTTAAATTATTTTTGATTACTATTTTACTGGTTTACTAGCGAGAGCGAGCAGATCATATCCCTGATGTTTATTTTTGTTCAGCCTATATTCAGCGCCTCCTTTACTTAGGAGCCTCGTATGTTCAGCATTACCAATCTAAATTGTTGTGTGGTGAATTATGACGGCCCGTAATACGAGGTCGAGTATTCTAGAGAAAATGTATTTAACCTAATGAAGATATTACAGTTTTTGTTTAAAGAGTTTACTGCAAATTCTCTTGCCAAAATTGGACGTATATTTGAGATTTTTATTTTTTTAAATCTCTTTTGAATTACTTAATCGTTCTTTACTTCCACACTATTAAAATTAGCATAAACATTCTTAATTCAATAAACATATTTTATAGATATTTCATTCTCTAAAGGTATAAAATTATGATTTTTGTGAACTTAATAAATTATAAATGTGTTTTAGGGATGACATGTTAATATTCAGTGGAGGTATGCCCAGAACTGCATACAGTGATAGAAATACAATATCTGTAGTGGCAGAGGAAAAGAAGCAGCATGTGGTTTTTGATTTTACTTCTAAAGTCATCGATTTTTTCGTTACACCATCTGGCGACGATAGTAATTATTTATCATTCTATAACTCAACTCGTAAAATATGGAGGGGTTGTTATATTTACTAATTGTATTTTTTTGTCTTTTTAAAGCAATTTTGGTTGTTCTTGCTGAGGAGGAATTGGTTGCTTTGCAGTTGAATGTGGAAAACACGCCGATGCTGCCATTACCATACATGGTATCGCTCCATGCTTCCGTTGTGACTTGCTCAAATTATATATCAGACATTCCACAAACCCTTTGGGACGATATCATCGCAGCTGGCAAAAAACAAAGCGTTGGACAATTCTCAGATGTAGTAAGAGCTGATTAGTTTTACAATCCTTATAATATTTGTTTTACTCTACGGCTATGTATACAGAACTTGTTAGAGTGTATAATAAGACAATTTAATATAAGTTGATTCTCGATAATTCAAATTCAAGAGACCACAAAAATAATTGAATTTACAAGAGCCAACAGTAATACATAATTTAACAATAAAAAAAATGTGAATTTGTATCACGTTCGAAAAGAGATTTGTGTGGAAATTCCCAAAACCTCTTCTACTGGAAGCCTTGTGGTACCCAAAAAAGAGGCAGACCCCACTTTTGTGGTAATTTTATGAACACAACTATGAATTATTTGGAGATCATGATTCTAAACCTACATCACACCAGAACACATCTCACGATCTCCAAATAATCATTAATTAATTGTCACTAAACAACACACAACTATGAATGACACCATAATCTACTTTTGACCGCAATGCCATTGGGAATAAAATAACTAGTGAAATCCAAAATCCCATTTTTCAGACATTTAAAATTTCATAGTAATAGAATGTTTCATAGTTTTGTGTTCAAAGTAACTCGATTCTCTACAGCAAAATGTTAAATTGTTTCAAGGCCTGGCCTGTCGATGGAGGGAGACTTTTAGAAACAGAATCAGAAGGCATGGCAAAAAGGCGTGATCTTCTTTTAACAGGTCATGAGGACGGGTCTATCATGATGTGGGATGCCTCTTCTGTTGCAATGGTTCCACTCTATAAATTCTCGTCTTCACGTCTCTTCGCTGGTGAATATGATGATGACTTACCTAGGGAAGCAGATGTTGATGAATCGTGTGCATGGACACCTTTTAAAAAAGTAAGTTTTAAAACAAGATATATGTATATTTCATTGACAAAGAAGTACTGAATTTTATTTATATACGTATTTATTTTTCAAACGGAGTTAGTATTTTTTCCTTAACGATCTCCCTTTCAAATTGCTTTTGAAATAGATTTTTCAAATTTTTCATTGCTTGTTCGAATTGAGTGTAAAGAACCAGTCTTACAAATGACTGGGTAGTGATTAATATTATGATGAACAACTGGGTTACACAATAACGGAGTAGTTGTGGTACTGGCTTATCGTAATTGAGGTTATAACACAGATCAATGAAAAACCTGAAATAAAACAATATTACATTTAAAATTTATTTACAAATGCTGATTCGCTTACAAATGCCATACCTAAATCCTATGAAATTGAGGATAACTATCGCAAGAAGTAAGTGTGCTTTATTATCTCTATGAATAGCACAAAAGATTATTGTCAAAAGAATTATAATTAAACTGACTTTGAGAGTAATGACTAATCCTTTTACAAATAGACATTTAATGTCACCCAGCCTCTCTACAAAAGTCAAGTCGATTTGAGTCATATCTTCTTTGTATCCAAGAGAATGGATTGCTGTGTAAAGCAGAATGATGTAGAAAAAGCTGTAATACAAATTTACTCTTGTTGGGAACTTCTTTTCTGCGTTGTTTTTATCATAAAGATACCAACATATATAAAGTACAGTCAGTGCAAACATGGATATAAGTTCATAGTTTGCAGAAAATACAATAAACGGTGAGATCATCACTATACACAACTGCTGGATTCTGTTGAATTCATCGTTTCCTCCCATCAGGGGCAAGTAAGGCGCTATAATACCCAGTGCCCATAGAACACAACATCCAATAACTTTTTTAATTGTCAAATTTGAAAATACCAGTGTTGCAAGTAGATGTAATAGGCAGAATGCTGTTGTAACGAAATCCCTGTAGTTTTTTAGCATGAAAAAGGATGAAGCAAGACCCCCACAGAACCAAATTGTACTTCCGATATTTAACAAGATGATGCTACTGTTTGGTATGGTCGGGATAAACATTAAAATCATATAAGTTATTCCAGATGTCGAGGTAATTATTAAGAGCGGAAGACCCCAGTTGATAGTGACTCCTTTAATTGTGTAAAACAGTAGTGCAAAAAAAAATCCTAAAAATGCCAAAAACTTACTTCTTATTGACCAAAATACAAATTCGGACTCTGCCAGAACTAATACCATACCAACAAGAGCCGTAATATATTCAGAGCTTTTCAGGGAAAATGCGATGTGCAGGTCATTAAGCCTGCTGAAAAACATCCTCCAAATTATCAAAGGTAAGATGAAGTAAAGAACACGGTGATTAGGCCATTTATGAGCCACGACAAAAAATAGAGCAAAAAAACATAAAAAAATAACAAACACGTTAAACTTTGTAGGTTGGAGTTCCTTTGTTTTAAAATTTTCATTCGTGTTCACTGTCTCAATAAAAAGTCTTAACATTTGCATAAATAAAAGGAAAATCCATCCAATATAAGTCAACATTCCTAAGTAAGCTATGGTACTCTGTGTCAAAGTACTTGACATGTTTATCATTGATAGACTTTGTTTGATTTTCCCTATGTTTGTCGCAGTGTCAAATGCTTGATATTTTTTTCGGTGAAATTTTGCAATAATATTGTATAATAATTTGATTTGCTTGAGATAAGGTTTCGCCAACGATGTTAAATGCTGGGAGTAACAAAGTAGAAGATTCAATTGAGATTCTGTGTAATTAAATGGGGGAAAGCCAATTGATTTCTTTAATGGGGTTTCTCCCAAAATTGTGGTTATAATAGCACTGATATCCACTTGTTTCAAATTGAGAATTGCTTCTTTTTTCACACCTTTCCCCCAAATTAAGAAATCCCGACTACAGTTCTCAACTTTTTTTGACATTATTATATACAGAGTCTCATTCGTAGGAAATTTCTCCTCTAGGAACTTAATATATTTCACTAAATGTTTCATTTCAAGTTCTAAAAACAGTGATTGGTTCCTGATCTCAGATTCTATTTGTGACTGTAAGGAGTTATTACCAAATGTTATATGAGCCTTCAAACCTGGATATGTCGATTGATGATGCCCAAAATAGTTAGTCTTAATTCTTGAGAATATGCTTTCTTGGTCTTGCATGTACAAAAAGCTGAATGGTGCTCGTCCATAACCGTAAATAACACTTGACAATCCTTTGCAGTCTCCTTCTTCTCCCTTGGCTTTTCCCGAGAGACCGGTCTTTACCTTTGACCTAATTAGTGGGTCTGTAATGTTGGACAAGTCAAAATCTCCGGAGGTTATTAGCACAAACCTCTCTGCCAGTTTTTCAAGGTTGCAAACTTCGAAACTTTCGAAGTTTGCTTTGAAGTGTACGTCTATAGCAAAAAACAATAAAACAAGTTGTACTAGAACGGCGAATAATTCGATTTTCCACATATTTCTTGTTAAGTTTGGATTTTGTTAGTTATGTTCTATTATTTTTGAGTAATGAATTTGATTTGTTAATCTCTTTACCATATGATTTTCAAATTATTTACATGTTATTATTCTTAAATTGTGGAAATTTTCATTTATATACAAATACCAATAACTTCTACTTAATTATTTTATATTTAATTACAAAAATTATTTATATTTATTATCCAGTAGTAATTATATATTTATATTGTGTTTTTCTATGCGTTTTAGTTCTTTCTAATGTTTATTATATTATATGAACTAATTCTCCTCCATTTTAAATCACTTTTGGTCTTAATTAAATTTACATGATACATATTTTCTTTTTATTTCAGGTTGGTACTTTTGACCCATACTCTGATGACCCTCGCTTAGCAGTAAAGAAGGTTTACCTTTGTCCAGAAACAGGGGTTTTAGTGGTCGCAGGGACAGCAGGGCATGTAATAGTAGCCAAATTGTCAACAGATAATGAACCGGATGAAATAAAGGTACTGTAAAAGGCAAACATTAAAGTTCAACTTCCTTCAACATTTGTTTTTAAGGTTACTACAATGAACATAGTAAGCAGCAGGGATGAGTTTGTGTGGAAAGGCCATGGATCACTGAAATTGCGCCCCACACCAAGGCCACCTCTACCCGAAGGAGGTGCTTTTGCAGTTACATCCATCCTGCAGTTACACCCACCTGCTGCTGTAACTGCACTGGCGGTTCACTCTGGTTGGGGGCTTGTTGCAGCTGGCACAGCCCATGGCGTAGCCGTTTTCGACTTTGTCAAAGGTGCCCCTGTGAGTGTGAAATGCACATTGAACCCTCTTGGTATGTAAAAATTTATTTGTGTATTGCTTACTCAATAATTCATAGTATTTTAATTTTTTATTAGCAATTATTGCTATTTTATCTCAACTATAATGAACAAGGTATAGTATGTGTTTATAAATGATGACCAACATACAAACCAGGGCCTTAGATCATTCTCAATGTATGTAGCTCAAGAATTTTTTAAATATTTTTTTATGTTTTTGCTGGAATATTTTGTAGAAAGACAATTAAAAAAATAAAATAAAGTAACATAAAATGACGAATCACATGAAAGATCTTTACACAAACTATTCCATTGTTCAAACCACAATACACCTTAACAACTTCTTGGTCTACTATTTTGGAAAGACGGTAATCAAGAAGTTGGAAGAGTTTAAAGATGTAGTTAAAATGGAGTTTGAGGGTATATAAACTGGTCGACTTGAGTCTCTAAATAAATCATAAAATTCGGGGTGGTTAAGGGTAAATAACTTTTTAATGAAAAAATATTGGGTTTTTTCAAGCTGTTCAAATTTTTCAAAGCTCCTTGTTCTGTCGCCCCGAATTTCATTAAGAAGTCCTCTTCAGTCTCTGCTGATCCTCTTCTGAACAATTTCACACTTTCACAGCGGGAAACTGGGGCTAGGGAAGTATTCAGCATACCTTCCACTAACACACGAACCGTTTTTTTAATACATATTTTTTTAATTTCTTGATCAGGTGATCTGCAATCGACAATTCAGTGTCCAAATTGCCTCTCCTTGTTTTTCTCTCGCTTGCCTGCTCATCTTGTCTCCTGCTCCCTGCCAGCATTCAAATTTACTTCTCTCGTTTATTTTATTTATGAACACATACTATTTAAATATTTAAGTATTTTATATAATAATAATTTTCATGCCTTGGCTCTATACAGAGAGCGAGAAGGCATGCAGCCGGATTTAAGAATGGTTCTCAGACATGGTAACGAGTTTCAGGGTCCCCTATTCTGCTTTTTAGGGAATTTTTTTATGGTATAACCATCAAAATATGTTTTGAGTTTTGTATGAGTGAATGGGGAGGGGCTGATAGTGAAATAGCATCCACATGACAGGATCGATGGCGGAACATTTATAAAAGTACCCCATTGACCCAAATTAGATTAGCTTATACAGGTCAATGGAAGAATATTAAGTACTCCATCTACTTAATAGAATGAATGCAATGTGTGAATGTATTTATTTGTGTGAATTGAATGTGTGTTATATTTCGCATGCACTTTGGGCTGAAATGACCAAGCTGTTGTATGCCACAAAAAATAAATAAATATAAAAAATAAAGAGACTGGACATCTACTCAGTACAGGATGTTAGCAAGTAAGCACATTCTAGGTGATACCTCGGTCCTCTAAAACGATTCGTCGCCCTTAATTGCTTTTATGTTTTTGGAGCTGTTTTTAAAAACTGGCTCAACTTTGTATGTGTTCTAAATCTATTTATAAATTCTGCTACCAACGTAAAAATATGAGAAAATTATATATAACATTGAAATCTAGAAAAGATGCACATGGTTTACCCCATTTTGTAAAGCCACAGATTAAGGAAACTATATTTGTCTTATACATTTTTTTTCCAGATATGTCAGGAGCTGGTGAAGGACCGATATCAAGGAGGAAATCTTTTAAAAAATCTTTAAGAGAATCTTTCAGACGTTTGAGAAAGGGCAGATCTCAGAGAGGTGGTGATAAACGGGGTGCGACAACTTCTTCATCTGCCTCCCCGACATCTGTCGCTTCTCCTACTAGCCCAATGTAATTATCTTAATTATAAATCATTCTCTTTATGACGCATCAGCATTGGTAATTTACTTTATAGAATTAAAATGACATATAATGAGGTTTTTAAAAAGAGGTTTTCCGGTAAAGTTAACAAATTTTATTTCTAAATTAGGGATGTCGAGACTAAACCTGTGGAAAGGGCTATTGAAGCTAGGCCTGTTGATGATACACTTGGATCAATGGTGCGTTGTCTTACATTCGCAAGGACGTACATTATAAGCAGTAAGCCAATTTGACAATTGTTTTATTTATTATTTGATTCCAACTTGAACTTATGTATTGTGATTTTTCCAGTGCAAAATCAAACTCCAACTCTATGGGTTGGTACCAACAATGGAACTGTTTATATATTCGCAATAGCGATACCTGGAGGGGCGAAGAGGAGTGAGGATAACGTCATATGCCAGCTAGGAAAGGAGATTCAGCTTAAGCATCGTGCACCAGTTATCAGTGTTGCGATCATCGACGGACATTCCAATGCTGTTGAAACTAACCGTCTTGGAGACCGACCACCACCGCATAGGGTTGTCATTTGCAGTGAAGAACAAGTTAAAGTATGTCTTCCTTTAAAAATCCACTTATTCTTATGAATTTGACCAAATTTCTAGAGGAGCAATATATCAATCCTAAATATTTTAAAATAATTGTATTAAATGTTTTTGTTTAGATATTTTCTGTGCCACAGCTAAAGCCTGTATGCAAACTTAAGCTCACAGCAGTTGAAGGAGCTAGACTGAGGAGGACGATTCTAGCATTATTTCTTGCAGGAACTTCACACTCAGAAACTTGCCTTCTCTGCCTTACTAACCTTGGAGATTTAATTGTACTTAGTCTTCCTGACTTAAGACGACAAATGAATGCTGCTGTTATTAAAAAAGAAGATATCAAGTAAATCAACTTATAAAAAAAGTTAAAAAGTTGTATTTTATTTACTTTATTTTACAGTGGGATATCAAGCCTTTGCTTCACCGAACGTGGGGAAGCTCTGTACCTCCATTCTAGTTCAGAACTTCAGAGAGTTTCTGTTTCGGCCTCGAGGGTGACAGTTGCCAGATGTAAAGTGGACCTCCCACCTGGTACGAGAAAACAAGCCGAGGACACCGTAAGCAATAAGTCAAGTGATTCATCGTCATCTTCGGAGTCTTCAAGTTCCAGCTCTTCCTCTTCATCTGCAGACTCTCAGAAGCATCACTCTGCAGATGACAAAGAAGAAGACAAATCAAATGAAAAGGTCGAGATTAAAGAAAACGGAGTCTCTGATACGACGAGTTCGCATGACCTTTCCTGCGTCGGTGACATCACTATCGACTCGGTGAAGGATCATTTGGCCAAGTCAGTTCTGCAAAACAAGTAAAAATCAACTGTACACTGCTGAAATAATTTCACCCTAATTTCTTTATTGCTTTGTTACAGCATGAACAACACAAGCACTGAAGAGAGTACAGAAATAATTAAAAATGAAACTATTAAAGTTGAATCTTCACATACAACCAAAACATCTACTACTATTGTCACATCTACAACTGCATCAGTGACTCAGCAATTAATGAATTCATCTATATCCGCTGAAAGTAAGTAATTTTTTTTTTTTTGTACAATAGATATTTTGTTAGAATGATTAGATTCTGAAGAGTATTGGAATATAAGCATGGATTTTATTATTAAGTAAACATGCATGACTTAAATATTCGTTGTTTTGTTGTTTAATTTTTTCTTCACAAAGTTCTTCATATATATATTTTTTAAATGGAATTACAAATGTTAGCACTTTTTTTTTATAAATGGTCAGCTTTAAATTAACAATATTATATTGTATATATATGTTTTATAACTATATTTTTAAATTTGCTTTTTATCTTGTTCAAACTTGAAGAAAAAAAAGTTATAAGAATAAGCTGCTAGGGTTCGTTTTCATAACCGTTTGCATTTATCTTTCAATCTTTTTTTTTTTTTTTTTTTAAATAAGCAAATATATAAAAAAATTATTACTTACTTTTATTGTTAAGCTATTTTGCAGGCTTGAGGGGTGGGTCTAAATGTAACGAAAATTCATTGTTACTTTTCTTACTGAACAATTTATAGAACTGAATAGGTCAGGTTTCTTATATGCATATTTAAAAAAATATTTTTACTAATTATTAGTTTAGTAAATACATATTTTTAAATAAATTGCCTGTCATGCTGTTTGCAGTAGAAGTTGGTGTACTTTTTTTAAATTTCAAAAGTTATTTTCATTTTCTATTTAAGTAGTTTTTTAATGATTTTTAATTTAAAAAAAAAAATGATAAAAATACTAATGCAATGAACTTAACGTAAATCAAATAAAGAGTGAGTGTAAATTCTGTTTAAAAAAAAAAAGGTAAAAATCCTGAGACATGTATTCTTTTATTAATTGTCTAGTTTCTCTTGAACTACAAAATTTTGATATAGCTCTCGAAGATAGGGGAATACAAACAGGGGCTTAACTATTTCAAATGGCAATATTCTTGTCAATGTACCTTTTTCAGAAATACACTGAATCCCCAATGGTGCAAACTTTTTTATTTGGAGCAACCGTTCTCAAGTTAATCACTACAAACTATTTCTGTACACTGTTTTTTCAGAAAAACAGAAAAATGATTTCTTCTCAAACTTCTTCAACCAAGAACCAATTTCTTTTTTATTCTCATTTTAATTGATAAATTGTTTCACATTTTTCAAAAATTTCCAATTTCCTCAAATAACATCGACTAACAGGACGCTCTGGATGTAACTCTTTAAAGCATGATCCAAATTTCTTCACTTACCACAACATTCACTTTTACCAACTCATCACCACTTTTTCTTGTAATGTACGAGACATTTTTACGATATGTGTAGTAAGTCGGACAAAATAAAGATTAAACTTCAGTGTGATGGTTTTTAAGATAAGTGTTAATTTGGATTACACTTCAATAATTTTTTGGGATTAGTTGTGACAACAAAACAATTTTATATACGTTTTGTTTATCAAACATTAATTTCTTTACATTTTTATTTGTGGACACAGAAATTTACACCAAGCTGAATCATACTTTAACCTTTTCGGGACTTTTATTTCTTTCAGGCTCATATCTTACCTTATCCCATCTTCATCACAGGGAACCATTCTTTTATCCACCTTCTGTTCGCTATCTGTCCTCTCAAACTTTTTGCAGAATTGCTACACAATTATTTTTCTGGAAAAATATTTGACCATAATCTCTCTCCGTCTCATTGGGAATGTCCTACTTTCATCAACCATTCACCCCCTGCCTTCCCAACCCTCTACACTTCCTATCGACCCTGTCAGTCTCGTCTGTCAAGTACTCTCAGTAGTTTAACATCGTCTATGTTCATTGTAATTTTTGAAATATATTTTTGTTTTGGTTGTCCTTATTTATATAAAATGTTTAGTTTTTTGAATGTTTGTTACCTTTTTTAATATTCATAGTGAGTACTATAATACTCTGTGAAAAGTAAATTTTCAGTTAAATGCAATACAAAATATATCTGAGGATCATACTGTCAAATTTTGAACATAATTAATGTACCTCAAAAGGAGTAAGAGCAATTCGATGTGAACATTTCAAATTTACATTGTAAACTAAATCAGTCTGGGGGGGGGTCATGTGGCGTCCAAGAACATAGGCAGGGGAAAATGTTTTAGCATTCTAAAATCAATGCTGAAAAGTTAATGACCGCATCCAGAGGCTCCTGTTAGTCGAATTTGTAAAATTCCAAAGGCATAGATACAAAAAATTATCCTACTTAAAAATTTAAAATATTCAAATATGTTTTCAAATTTGAAAAAAAAAATGTAAAAATTAATTGTTCCCAAACATCATTTACACCATTCAGAACACTAGACTGACCTCAGAAGTAGACCTGATTTCTCAAAATGCACCCAGACCCAATATTGAAGGTAGAAAAATTCTGAAATGTGTCCGACAGACCAACACACCATAAAGATCGGTAACGGCCAAATTACAAATTTTTACGCTACTGAAATATCTAAACGTAAAATGATGTTAAATATTGTAATGGTTAATTTATGTTTTTATCTCATTCGAATGCTTATTCATGCAGCTACAGAAAATAAAACACAAAAATACAAATGTTTGAAAGTAGAAAGCAAATTTATATATTTGTGCATTTTGTTTTTTATTTGTAGTTAGTTTTTACGTATATTTTCATTATTGTCAGCTAATTCTGATGACGAGGACAGCCAGGAGGCCACGCCAGTTCAGGTACAAAAATAAAAATTCAAAAAGTTATACTCTCCTTTTATCGTTATGAGGTTTCCACATTGTGGTACTTGGGGTCTGTGTTGCATGTTGACTTTAATTCTTATGCTTATACAGATTAATTTGTATAAGGCCCTAGTGTATTGTAGAAACAAGGCAGAAGACTAAGCTCGCCTTATTCCACAATAAAAAAAATAATAAAAAAATGCTTGCTTTAAACGAGAAGTCCCCTTACTTTTGGGATAATGCATTTATAAAAAACAAGAAATTAATCTAGTACAATTATGTAATAAAAAATTTTGTTGTAGTTTCAGTAATTACACATTTACCGTTTGCAAATTGTCTTTAAAAAAATTAAATTGTTTGTACTAAAGACCCTGCTATTAACTGTTATAGGTGTAACACATAGATGTAGATGTACATCATGCTGAAGTGCAATCTAAATTTTTTTTATGTAACAGTAAACGCAAGATTATGTTTGTTCTGAAATGTACATATGAGACAAATCTGTTGGTTTTCTAATCTACTTCAGAAAGTGTTAATTCTATTATTACTCGGTGTTATGTGGTGAAAATAAATTTCTTTTGATATTTTATTAATAAAAATTTAATTTATTAAAATCAATCTAATGCTACATAAAAGAAAATTTGTACTCATTGTTGCAAGCTGTTCAAGATTTTGAAACAATTTTTTCCCATTGCTGATTGTCAATAGACTTTTACCCTTGAAAGTTTTACTTCTCTGGAATTAAGTTTGCATGTGTGTTTGTGCAAGCATGATGTGCTTCTTGGGTATGGAGAAATTTCACACTTGAGAGAACAAATATTGGTATACATTTCTTCTATATTTTATGTAATAAATTTTCAATAAAAAAATACATTTCAAATGCTTAATATTTTGTATTATCTTAATATATTAAGGAAATTATCCTTAAATGTTTCAAATCTATAAAAATAAGAAATTGCAATAGGGGGGAGTCAGTAAATAGCATGAAAACTACGACCAAGACTTCATATCATTTATAAAATGTCTGTCTTTTGCCTAAATTTGCGTTTTTTATGTTATAGGTTCGTAAAGCTCCTTTAGCAAAGATGGAAGACTTGGATGCAGATGCGTCTACAGTTTGAAAATGACATTTTATCAGAGTTTTATTTAAATTTTTAACTTGATTTCCTACTGAAATTGTTAAATGAATTTAAAAGTATAAGCTTACCCATTTTCCACTTACTAATATGTACATAATTTAAAAAAAAAAGAAAAAAATGAAGAAGAGGTTCAGATGGTTAACTTTGGGAGTGACAATATGGCTTATTTTTAAACGTTTTATCTCAGTTGTCCCTCATAAATAAATGAGAGGTGTTAAGAGAAATGTGGTCCAATTTTTCTACTTGATTTTAGGTTAGAGAACAAATCATATTTATAAAATGTTGACTTTTTTATATTTATATAAAACTACCCTTACTAAATTAAATTGCAATTAATTTATTTTTCTTTTTATAAAAATAAATTCAAAACTGCAAAAGGTGGAGGAAACTAATTTTTAAGGAACATAATATGTACTTAGTTATATACACTTTTATTTAAAAAAATAAAATAAAAGAGTGCCTGATAAATATATAACAAAAATATATAAATTTGTATTTTCATGGTTTTTTTGTTAAAGAATTTATTGTATTATTATTTGCAACCTAATTAATTATAATAACTTAAGCTTTAATTATATATTGTGCATGTTTCAGACATCACTTTTATTTGCTTTTTTGAAGGAAAAAAAGAAGAAAAAAAAGCAAATTTCCTTATTTAATTTTAAACAAAGCTTCTTAATTAAAACCATATTTATATGAAAAATTTTACAAATCATTTTTGTTTTTATTTTCTCCTCCCTAAATTCATTTTTGTTTTTATTTTCTCCTCTCTAAATTCATTTTTGTTTAACTTGTTGAGCATGGGAGTGGATATTTTGCGCACAATAAATAAAGTCACAGTTTAATCATTAGTGATGATTTTGAGATTTTGATTGTGATGACATTTTTTATTATGTTACAGCAGGGCTAGAGCGCTGAATCTGAATCATTCGAGTCTTTTCAAGATACATATGTCAATGGCTGTTTTTTATGCTAATTGCTGAAACTAAAGTAGATGTATCAAGTGTGCAGATGATAGTTGTACAGTGCTCTCTCTCTCTCTCTCTTTCTTTCTCTCTCTCTCTCTCCTCTCTCTATCTCTCTCTCAGTGATCTGAATTAATTGCTGCATTCTGGATTACTGAAAAATTTATATTTAAAAAATAACGTTTTTAAAAATTTATTCAACATTTTCTTCATTGCTTCTTTTTCATTCATTTTTAGCAGTAGGTACATGATGCAAGAAAAATGTAGACTGATTTAAAATTTCATTTTTTAGTGTGAAGGATTCACTGAACAAAGGAAATCCCTGAAAATTTAGTCTTAGCTGGTCTTGGTGTTTGTATTCCCCCTCTAGCTTATCTCTCTCACTCACTTTTCTTCGATTGCAGTTGACTGTGAGAGTGAATAAAGGCTTGAATCCACTTAATGTGCTCGGTTGATGACTGAAGTGTAGAGGGTTGAGTCACTGGAGCTGATGATGGGATTTCCCTACCCCGAGGAATATCAAGACTTGGATTGTTGTCTGGATAGTAATTTATTAGCATGAATGGAAAGGAGGTTTAAACCCACCTCGAGGAATATCAAATACACGTGGAGTGAATATGACCAGACTTGCATGGGAGGTGAAAGGATATCGGCACCAGACACGTGCTTCTGGGGAGAGTTAATGACAAAGTTTGCGAAATGGAGGAACTAAGAATTTTCCATTTTAAGCACAGAATGCTTGCAATGACCACTTGATGTTTGTCGGCCCATAAACAGTACATACTACTTTAGCAGATTCTCGGTATATTATTTTATTTATTCAGAAAGCAATGAATTTTTAATAAATTTGAGTGTAAATTACACTAAAGTGGTACTCAGGGCGTTAACCCTAGGTGCCGAGGAGAAAGGAGTTCAACACAATTTTTCAGCATGTTTGCCTTATTATTACTTTACTTCTTAGCAAACATTTATGTACATAGTCTTAAGACGCTAGACGATCAAGCTGCTTGATTAAAAGCTGGAGTTGAACGACTGAGTCAAGCATTGATGGTGATTGATTGAAAGTTTGATACTTGAAGAGGGTGCTTGACCATCTACGAGGGTTATGATCAATCTTTCGGTCAGTCCTGCGCCAAGCAGCAACAATGGAGGGTTCTGCACTCTCTCCCAATGTTTAAGTAACACAATCTGATCATGAATTTACTAGCCTGCTGATAGATTTATATTGAGACTGTCCAAAGCTGTGGAAAGTTAAAAGTAAAGACTATTTAATAGAACCAAAAAAAGTGCAGCATTGGAAAAAATTGTGGGGGCTTTGAAAACGCTGAAACTGGACTTCAATGAAAAGAAGCTAAAAAAAATCCAAAATGATGTCCCAGAGTCTAAGCAGCACTGGCACACAGGAATTTCATGTCTTCCAAATACATGCCAGGAGCTAGGTACCTCAACGTGATGGATAATCTCTGAGTTGCAGGAATCGCTTCACACATTATAGTGTTCTGTTCTATTTTGGGTCGTATTAACTCCAATAAACAGTCGAAGTTTTCTTGGTTCATTCTGAAAAAATTTCTGTAGTTTTTTTGGTTCTGTTTTGTATAAAATGTTGATTAAGTGTTTGAGAATGGTGGTTTCTCAATTTATACCACTCCTTTGACCACCATCGTTTCTTCTTATTCTGCTTCTTCAGTATTACTGATAAAATCAAGGCGAGGAAGCCAATATCTGTATTGTTTCAGCCATGAAAATTTTAATGTAGCCCTGAACTGAAGTCTCGTACAAAAAAAGAACAGCATTACATACCAGGGCAAAATGTTTTGAACAAAAGATTGAGGATTAATTGAAGCGTGCATCAATCGACTGACTCAAACCGCTTGATCCAAATGATTGGTCTAGGGCCCTCTTAAGGCCGGGCCACACTAGATGGAATACGACAGAAATTTCCGCTGTACAAGGTTACATTCAAAACAAAGCCAGCGACAAACTGAACGGAAATTTCAGTTATAATGTCTCTGTTGAACTCTATTGGTGCATCATTGTCCATCAACAGATTGTTCCATCTAAACAGATCAAAACGGTGCAATGTAGATAGAGCACACCACACTGACGACAGACAAGTGTACAATATTAGAGGCAAACTGCAAGTGAAGCTGATCTAGGATGGACGTGGACCAATTTATTGTGGAAGTTCAGAACAAATCCTGTCTGTGGAATTTTAAAGACGCTTGTCAAATGGCGCTATAGTCATCCCATAATATTGGAAGAATTTGACGTGTTATCCTTTTCATATTAGATGGTTGAATCCAATGTTCTCTCTTTTTCTCCATTGCCTTGTAAATGTACAAAACGAAAAGTGGTTTCATTGTACCATACACAATCAACTGAGCCATGTTATCAACCGAATATCCAAAAACAGCCAATTCTATTCATTTCTGTTGTATATGTGGCTTGTTCGGATTTTTCGTCGTGAAATTTCCGTCACGGAAACTTCTGCCGCATTCTGTCTGTGTGCCGCCAGCCTTAAAGGGCCAAAGGAATGATGTCCTGGAGAAAAGGGGTCACTGTGCATTAGCAAGAAAATTTACTATAACAAGTTTGTTTATAACATAATAAATAATATAACATAATTATGTGAAAATCTGACTTAGAGATCGAGATCATGGGGTAGTTAAAAAAGAAAAATAAATCTTTACCACAATTGATATTATTTTTGAGTAACATAACATAAATAATAATTAAATATATATAATATATATAAATTTGCAATTTACAGCAAAAATTAACAATGTATTGAAACTTCCAATATAAATATTTATTTTAAATTAACTTTGTGCTAAAAATTTACCTAAAAATCATCTTATGCATCAGTCTTAATGGAAGTAATTTACCTCCAATTACAAGAAACATAAATCAAATTTTTTTAAAAATTATAATTAAATCAGGTTCAAAACCAACCATTAGCCTCGCCATTTAAGGAAAAAAAAATTGTTTAAAAAAATTATTATGGTTCTTCCAATTCACTCACCATCTTATTTTCATTATAGCAAATAAAAAGTTCATAAGGAAAACAATTACAATTGGCTTAAGTAACCTAGCTACTACTAAGAGGGCATGGATTGTTATTTATAAGAGCATTGATTTTATAACAATTTTCACTTGAAATTTGTAAATAAGATGCACAATCTGATTAAAAACTTTAAAAATTCAATTTTGCAATAAATTTAATTTTCTCTTGATAGTGTACAGTTTCAACACCAGTGAACTGATCAAAATAAATATTATTGGCTGATAAGGAGTAATAAATGTTAAATCAACAATGAATTAGACAATATTAGAACTATTGATATTTTAAAATCGCCACAAATATTTCCTTTAAACAAATTGTCTTTTATAAGCTTTCTTAACCTATCAAATAAAAACACCGGCAATTTTTTAAATTGAATTATTCTAATTTACTATTACAATTATTATCAGCTTATTATTCAGGTAAATAGTCCAAAAATACTTAAAGTACAAACTTAACTTTTGCATTTTGTAAGAAATAATACAGATTATATAAATAAAAAAGGGGGGAATCCTACTGCTGTCCTAACCCGCTAAATGTATGCTATTAAATTATATAACAGTTTAAGTTACAGTAAAAACAATGAAATGGGCAAAATTTGATGCCATTAGCTAAGGTTAGGAACCACAGTAAGCCTGCGGTTTCCTTTCTATGCCTAACAGGAATAATAACAATAAATTTAGTTTTACTAAGTTTCCAATTTGTTTTGGCAGTTCTCTACTATTAAATGAATGTTGGTTAGATAGAAATATTCCTCTGACACATGGAAAAAAGGCACCCATTTTTTGGAGCCAAATGGTCAAAATGGATCATTGAAATAACCCCGTATTATCTCAGCATTCAAAGTTTCTTTCTCTAAATAAATAAATACATTTCTTTAATACTGAGAACCTTTTTAAAATAGTAATTTATGTATTATTCCTAGAAACATAAAGAGGAACCGGTATTATATTATAAATGTAATTAGCTATACATTCATACACACAAGCACACACACAAACAAAGCCCACAAATAAAAATCACAGTACAGCTCGCTAAACAGTAAACATTTCGAGGAACACTTTTTTTTAACGGGGATTGGAAAAGAAGTGAAATGAGGACTAGTCGGAAAACCTAAGTTTTTCAATTTCTCAATTGTTGTTATCTATGTGGCAAAGCTCGGTAATTACGTTGTCATACTCTTTGAGGTTGGTCTCAAAAGCTTCGAGCTGCCTTGTGAGGTCACCAACCTGCTCGGCTAGAGTTGGTTCATTGTCGAAACCTTCGAGCTGGGGTGCCGACTGGCACTCTCGATAAAAAAGTCCAAGATCTGTGTTGGCATTTGAACCAGCAAATGGTGTTTTCTGAAAAGGAAATACCCTTCATTACATCTTTAATATATAAAATAAATAATTATATTAATTAGCTTATGGTATTAGTCTCTCAACATGGTTAAAAACTACATATACAGCTAACTCTTGACAAGTCTAATTAATTTTCAATTTGCTCCACTTAACTATGTCAAACAAATTTTCTTGTCCTGCGTCATTATGTGGTAAATATTACCTCAATACGTCCAATTCAGGTCCAATGCCAGGAACAATGCGTAAGTAAGTCATACTGAGAAAAATGGACATGTGAGGGGATTTTCGCCTCTAAGACAAAGTACCTCTGAACGATCCCCCCCATCACAACTTATATCCTGTAGGAGCCGCATCGCCTGAGAGAAGATTCTTTTTCATGTGCACCTGCTGCATGGCCTTATCAAACGTTTGTTTAAAAAGGATGGAAGGTAATGCAATTCTGAATGCATCTGGCCAGCGAGAAGCTCGAAAGATTGAAATGATTTTTAGAAATGATGAATGATGGAGTGAGTGCGGTGTTCAATCCTTTTTTTAAAAAAAGATTAAAACGATATCTGTCTAAACCTCCTGGGGCATACTCCCATGGATAGAATGCGCCATTCCCAAATCCAAGATGGGCTCTTCAGTTAAGAAGTTCTGGACAACAGACCAGCACTGGCTTTCATTTTAAGTGGAATGTTGACCATTAGGAGAACTAAGCCATACTATAAATGTTTCAGTAAAACAGTACGACCTGACAAATAGCATCAAATACTACGTACCCTCTAGGAATCTCACAAATGAGCGAATCTCCAAAACCAATGCTTATTCATGCTTATTCCCTGTCTTTTCAGACAGGATCTGGTTCACTGACCCATATGTGAGACTGATCACATGCCTGCTGTTCACCCACTGACAATTTCTTTTGCCGGTATATGAAGACAGCTTGTACTTTAGAGAGTGTGCCATGCTCCCTGGGCTTCATCATTATTTTGTGCCTGGAAACCCCCTTTGTAACCAAGGGTTGGTACAGGAAATTCAGAAATTATGAAAACGTAAAAGATGAAATTGCATGTGAATATGAAGCTCATCTTTTCAGGTTGCATCCCAAATCACGGCATGAATATTTTACTTTCAGAGAAGAGGCTATCGACCACGACTGGCTTCAAGCCTCCCCTTTTTTGATGAATGGTTTCAACAGTTTGTAGGCTCACCCCTTTTATGTTTCACCCACCCCCAATTATAGGTACACCCGCTTCAGCCTGTTTTTGCTACTTATCATGGAATAAACTGGTACGCTGCATCCTTAACTTATTTTACCGCTGTTATTGTCGTTACTCTGTATTTGAACATTGAGTTTGTCTTGATTTTTTAATGTTAAAATGCCTCGCAAAACTAATTCTTTCAGTGGGTGAAAAGCTAAAGTTGATTCACAAAACGGAGAAAGGAAAGAAAGGACAAAAAATAAGGCAGTTATTGCCAGAAAATTAAGGATTCCCAGATTTAGTCTTTTCTTAAAAGTTTGTGTATTTTATGAGTTTTTAGTGTCGAATATGTTATGAATATGATATTATCAAGTTTTAAAGTATTTTATTTTTTTGTCTTGTTGTACATTGCCGAGTAGTTTAGTTTTGTTGCTGAGATAACGAACGAACAAATGTAGATGGAGATGGAGATGGAGAGGGGGGAGAGAGGGAGAGAGAGAGAGAGAGAGAGAGAGAGAGAGAGAGAGANAGAGAGAGAGAGAGAGGAGAGAGAGAGAGAGGAGAGAGAGAGAGAGAGGAGAGAGAGGGAGAGGAAGGAAAGAGGGAGGGAGAGAGAGAAGACAGGTAGAAAATTAAAGTTTAGGGAGTGAGTAAAACAGTAAGAAAATAAGAGATTTAGACAGAAAGCAAAGAAAGTGAGTAACGTGAGAAAAAATTAAACAAGAAAGAACGAGAGAGAGAAGAGAGAGAGAGAGAGAAAGAGAGGAAGGAAAGAGGGGGGGAGAGAGAGAAGACAGGTAGAAAATTAAAGTTTAGGGAGTGAGTAAAACAGTAAAAAAAATAAGAGATTTAGACAGAAAGCAAAGAAAGTGTGTACGTGAGAAAAAAATTAAACAAGAAAGAACGAAAGAAAGAAAGAGATTCTGTGTGTAGAGAATAACATTCATTACTCCCGATGACCACATGAAGAAATCTCACATATTACTCTTCCATAATTTTAAATAAGTGAAACATCGACCACAATAAGTCAACTGTAGAATAGTCAAACAACTATGTCCAGTCCTTTGAATTTCGACTTATTAAGAATGGACTGTCTATGAATAGAGTAAGAGCAATTTCAAAAGCAGTTTATCCGACTGGACAAATTGGATAAATAACATGCTGAAAACGGTACACATGCAATAACTAGATACATCATAGGATACAAAAGTGCTGAAGGTATGTGTACGACTGCAAGAAAGTAGTCAGTGGCTGCAACGGTTTAAGCGTTGACCTGGCACTCATCACTGTAAGGTTATTGGCACTCATTATTTTCTCACCATTCCAATAATTTACTTAATAAATTGTCATCATAAGGTGAAATATGTATTATTTTTCAATTGTCTAGTTTCTTTGGTTAACAGCAGACATGCAATTTATTCCCACTCATACCCAGCACAAGCGAAATACTACCAATGTGAATTACATTATGACACAGCAATTTTAATGTCTGATCTATAGCAGGGTTTTTGTGACTGCAAGGTGCACATAGTACATTATTTAACCTAGGTATGTACTCGTCTTCCCTCATAAAATACTTTTATAAATAGGAAAAGGATGTGTTAGTAATGGAGAAAATTAATTAAAATATCTCATGCTGATGTTAATCAATATAAAAATTTACCAAGTCTACCATAATGAAATCATCATGTGATGTGATCGAAGGGCATCTTGGTGTGATGTTGCCATTATCGCTGTCATCCTGGTTAGGCGTATGTTGCTCAGATGATGGCGGTATTGCTGGGGGTGAAATTTTGTTCGCCTGTTTCCCAACGTTGAGCAAGCTCATGAATGGGACATCGTTCAGCGGTTCGTTTTCTATACTAATCCTTCCCTTTTTGATTGTGTCGGCAAATGCACCCATCTTAATGGTCTCACTCAATGAAGAATTGTTTTCATCTCTGCAACAATGCCAAAAATAACAAATTTAATAAAAAGAAACTACAAAAAGATTTTAATTTTATTATATCCTATCCCTTCTTAATTTTTTCTTGGAATCTTGAACTAAAATTTAAAGAAAAGTATGTTAAAGAAAGAAAAAATGGGAAGGTCCAATTTTTAATATTAATTTTTTCTGTTTCAATTATTGAACTACATATCAAGTACTTTGTGTTAACTACCTCACTAACATATTGTATCCCCCCCCAATACCCATATTTATTGAATAAAATTCTAAACTTATTTTTGTAAAATGCACTAAATTATACCTGTAAGTAGGAAAAAACTAATTAAATAAAGTAAGAAAAGGAAGAAAATAAATCAGATTAATATTACAAAAGTATATTATGTTAAAGGCAATATGATTAATTAGACATAATGGCTAGCCATTATACAAGAGACTTGGCCCATATGTGGAATGAATCACCTGAAGTATCAATACTGACCAAGGGAATATGGTCAATAGACATAATGCTCACCACTGTCATTTATGTAAGATTTCAACCAAGCAGGTTGGTCATTATTCAAAATGTCCAGCAATCAATGGTCATTAAGCAAAATCAGCATCAATGCATAGACATCCACTTTCAGTGCACATAGACATCCCTAACAAATCAATGTCGGCATGGAAGGTGGTGGAAGGTTTGTCATCATTAATGAAGGGGTAAGGATAGGGCTGCCATCGTTGTAAGAATTACCATAGCAAACTGGGTTTCTGTTGGTAAAAGAATAAAAATAGAAATATTGCGCAATTCAAAATGCTACAAATTTGGCAAATATGCAAAAAATAAAATTTTCAATCATTTTAATCTAATTTCTTTCCAATGGATTTCCATAATATAATAATTATATCTAAGTATACCGCAGTCATTATGCATCGAGATCATTTTTGGATGTTGTGCATACTGACCAAAAGGTTGTACATTATGCATAAATGCAATAAGCTCTGAACATTATGCAGAATCTCACTGAACAAACATAAACACCCAGGGAAAAAAAAATTAAAAAAATCTTAAATTAAAACAAAACATTCTTCTTACATGTTGTTGGAACGGAGATGTTTTGGACTAAAATCTGGCCTAAAGTGGTCACTTTTAAGCATAATCGATGTCTCTTTACTAGGTTGCGGTGAAATCGTCATCTTGGTTCGGTAGGCCACAGATAGGTGAATTGTACCAACTGGCGTGCTCAGCTGTCCGACCCTAACCTGGTTGTACCCTTCACCTACAAACAACAATGAACAATGATGTTAACAAACTTTTGTTAATTTGGTCTTAAAGAGTAAAAGATTAAATTTGAATACATTTGACTTATAATGTCTTTATTTAATTGATGGAAGCAAATTCATCAGTAAAAGACTAGAACACTTGGTTTTACAAAACTGTTTTGGAAAATTTACATTCGTTTTAGAATATTTAATATAATCTGTCTCTTGTTCATCAATAAAATGTTAAAAATTGCCCTGCCTCTTAATAATATCAATTAAGAAACATTAATTTAAAACTATATTTTAAGTAGTAAATTATAACTATTTTCAGAAATTAAGTAAGACATTAGCTAAGTACAAAAATTTAAAGTGATATTTCTCCAATGAGGTGATATTGTACTTAACCCACGCAAAAATACTTCAATAATATAAAATTGTATATTTTGTAAGAATACATTGCAAATTTGACATCTTTTGAGTTTCTTTTTTGAAAAATATAGTTCCTACTCACAGTAAGTGGAGGTAATATTATTGATTACTCACTGTGAGTAGAAACTCACACTTCTCAAATGTTCTCTCAACTCGGAAATCTCAAAAGTTCACACTGGATTGAATGCACTCACTCCATCATTCATCATTTATATCTTTTGAGTTTTGCTTCATGAAAAAAAATTAAAAAAAAACAGTAAGATACACAGTGTTCCCAAGCATTTGTAAAGCATTTTTTATAGTTAAATTTCCGACAACAGTACAACCCCACTATATTTTGCAACAGTTTTCTTAATTTTCATCTAGTTATAGTTATAGATAGTTGTGTCGCTAGTGCTCCTGTGAAGAGACAGAAAAAAACTTTAAGATTGGGTGGGAGGATAAATGTCAAAAGTTTATAAATTTAAAAACATTAATTATAAACCTTTTATATATACATATAATTACATACAACTAATAACAGATTTAAGCCTTTATTGGTCATAAAAAATACCCCCTCTTTATTTACACAGGAAGATGACTCAACACAAATGATTTAGCGTAGATTTTCTGGAATTAATAGATGGCTAACTAATGGATGGTAACATAAGCACATCTCTCCTGTACTAATAGCATAAAGAAAAGCTAACAAGAGCGCTGTCGCCGATTCATGTCCCTACTTTTGTTGGCCGGGTTTCTCGAAGGGTCCCTGGGCCGGGCTTGGCCTTCACAATTATGCCAATAACAAACATAATACCATACCTATCCTTACTTTTGTTCAAAAATAATAATTTAGAAAAGATAAATCACATTTGGTGAAATTCAAATTTTTCTTCTAACAACGGAGAGTTCAAATTGTACGAAAAAACAAACTCAACCCAAAATGAAATTATTGTCAAAATAAATTATCCCGCGGTTCAGTTCAATGGAAAAGTTTAAAATTCAAAGTAAGGTCAGATATGACGAACGTATCGAATATCCAATTACATACTCAGATAGAGAGAGGGAGAGAGAAATTAAGAGTTCAAGGACAAAAGCCAAGGATTTTGGTGGATAAACAGATTCTGTTACCACATAACATGGCAATCGTACCTTTTATTGTTAAAATTTCAGCGAACCTTATCATTATGGCTTATCTATTATTATACACTAAAACAAAGGACAAAACTGACTATTCACTTGTTTACAACCAGTTTAAAACTGAATAAATTATTGGGTTGTCCGGAAAATAATGCAGGATTTTGGTATTAAACAAAAAAAAAGAAACTAGTTACTTTAAAGCAATGTTCTTTAATCAAAATAATTTCCCATACTCTCAATACATTTCTCCCAACGTGTTGGTAACTTATTAATTCCGTCTGAGTAGAATTCAGAATTTTTAGAATTGATAAAGTCAATAAATGCATTTTCCAGTTCCGTTTGATTTTTGAATATTATGTGTTGTAAGTAGTGGTCCAGGTGTCTAAAAAAATGGTAGTCAGTAGGCGAGAGGTCCGGAGAGTAGGGTGGGTGAGGCAAAGTTTCATAGCCAAGCTCCAATAATTTTTGTGACGTTACACGTGACACATGTGGTCGAGCGTTGTCATGCAACAAAATGGGCCCTTTCCGATTGACCAAAGAGGGCTTCATTACTGCCAATTTCTGATGCATGGTATTAATTTGGTTACAGTATGATTCAGCATTGATGGTTTCGCCAGGATTTAAGAAGCTGTAGTGTATTAAACCAAATGAAGCCCACCATACCGTAACCATTACCTTTTTTTGATGAGTTGGGGGCTTTGGAGCTTCTCCTTTGTCGAGCCACTGTCCAGAACGTCTAGTGTTATCGTAGAGAATCCACTTTTCGTCACATGTAACAATTCTGGCCAGAAATGGGTCATTTTTGTTTCGACAAAGAAGTGATGCACAAACATCAAAGCGCTGATTTTTTGGCGATCGTTTAATGAGTGTGGAACCCAATTTTCGAGTTTTTTCACTTTTCCAATCGCCTTGAGGTGGTCAGCGACGGTCGTTTTACTGACTTTGAGTTGCTCTGCAAGTTCTCGAACAGTTGTTTTGGGGTTTTCTTCCACCACTGATCGCAGAACATCATCATTAAGAGAGGAAGGCCTTCCACGACCTTCTTCATCTTCAAGGCTGAAATCTCCCTCCCGAAATTTTTTAAACCACCTTTGCACAGTGCACTCATTAACACAACCCTCGCCCCAGACTTGGTTAATGTTTCTAGCCGTTTGGGCTCCGCTTCGGCCGAGTTTAAACTCGTAAAAGAAAATCGTACGAAATTCTCGCTTTGACATTATAAGGATGACTGAATTATTTCCAAGTAGCGGAATGCTACAGAGGTAAACAAACAATATCATTTGGAAGAGGATTAATAAGTGTTGACATTCATACAAATGAGTAATCCTGTAAACGTAAACAGAATATTTTATATAGATTTTTTTTAATGAAAACTTAAAATCCTGCATTATTTTCCGGACAACCCAATATATGTTTGGAATTTCTTAAATAATTCTCATTGGGTGCAGTGAATGGTTAAATGTTTGGCATTTCTTAAATAACACTTATTGGGCGGGGTGACTGGTTAAATCAATAACTGTAAGTTATCTGTTTATTATTAATTATGATTTCCAATTTTTCTTCTCAACCGTCTTTGCATAAAAATTGGAAATTAGAAATCAACAACATTCAGTTGTTTTGCAAATTTTAAGAGGGAAAAAATGCATTAGCTTTATATTAATTGCAAACATTAAAAAAAAAGTATTAAGAATAAAAATATTTAAATGTGAAATATTATTTTCATAATAATATTGTTTTCTCTATTGCAGTATGTCTGGAGTATTTTTTCAATGATCTATTCAGAATACAAGTACAATAGTAAATATCACAATAAATTAAGCTGCATTTAAATTTTTTATGATATATTGTGATATAACATTACATTGCGATATAACAAAAGTATATTCAAGTTCTATTCAGATATTACAAGAATATTGAATTCATTTGGTATTGTCATTATATATAGATTTTTATTACTGTTGGACAGTTGATTACTGCCTAAATTCTCACTCTTTCACTCACACACTCTTTTTATAACACAGCCTTGACATATTTATTATTATAGTGTTGGACATTTTTCCCAAGTTATTAGTCAAATTCTTCTAGACTTCTTATGTTTACTTATCTAAACGGTCTGTAAATTAAAATATATATTTCAAATTAAATATGGCACTCTTGATGAGTCTTGACTGGTTAAGAAGAATTAAAACATTTAACATTTTCCTTGAAATTAAAAATGAAAACCATACACAAATAGAAACCATTTTTAAAAGTAATCGTTTAAAAATGATTTTGAATTATTGAAAAATAATACAACAGAGGACTCTTATTCATTTGAAACTTGATAATTTGAATTGCTTGCTACTATGAAATCCTCATCAGGACACTTTGGTAAATCGAAAAACTCTTTTGTTTTGATATACGAATATTTATGAATATGAAATATTTTTTTAAGAGTGAGAGAAGATTCTATAAATTGAAATGGAGCAACTCCCCCTCTTTATACAATGAACTTATTCCTTGTAACAATTTTCTACGTTTTTATGTATAATTTACTTCCTTGGTGCTGAAAGCTTCTTCGATTTTTTTCTAGTTTGTTTCTTTGGTGGTTTTGCTAACGTGTTCTCAGCGCTGGTCACTACAGAAAATCGTTTTCACAAGATACCCGGCCAAAATGAAAAAAAAACTGCTTTGATTTTTTTTTTTTTTAATAATGAATAACAATGTTCATTTTACAGTTCCAAGTTATTTCCACTTTTTCATTATTTTTACTATGTACAATTTAAGTAAGAACTTTTGAAAATACATAATCTCTTAATAAATTGGTTTTTCTTTCTTTCAACTTAATGGAACATCTTCATCATTCAAATTACTTTTGCGGTCCCTTAGGTTTTTGAATTATCAAGAGTGCTGTGCAACCAAAATGTTCTACACTTCATGCCAGATTGCCATTTTTTGTTGGCAAAAAACTGCTGTTGCAGCGTCTTATCAATTCCATTATCTATTATATATAGAATTCTCTATCTTCAAAGATAGACTACATATCTGTCTATCTTATCACACTAATAACTAGTTTATAAATACAATTTAAATAAGATGACAGAATAGTGTATTACCCAGTGGGTGATATTTTAATTATCATCTTTTTTTTTTTGGATAATCAGTTTATTAATGCTACGTTTATCGGCATTTTAGCAAAATAAATAAATACCTATTTTTTTTTTTTTTTAATTGTACAAATCATATATAATAATTATTATTGAGATTAATTGGATTCAAACTCTTATAATATAAACACTAAAATTGATATTCATACACACAAACAGATCATGGAAATTAATGTTATTATTATATTAGATTTGGTTAAATCCTTCTAAGATTTTAAAAATTGACATTTAGAAGTAGAGTTTTATTTTAAAGAAAATAAAATAGAAATATATATATTTTTTTTAAAGTTTCTGTAAAAGCGCCCTTGGCGAAGGTCGTTCAAGGCTGTTGAATTGCATTCCTTTCCTATTAATTCCCCCTCCTAAAAGCACGGCTAAGAATAGAACTTTCATTCTTTTTCCAGTTCCATTCCCCAGACGGCAAAACCCCCCAAAAATAATTTCTTAAGTAGTTTTAATAAGTTATGCAATCTGTAGCAGGTGTAAAAATGGATTAAACATAAAATACCTAATTTATTTATTCCCTGTTTGCCTAATAATCAAATCTAATTAGAAATAGGTCAATTACAATGTTGATTCATAAAATCCGCTTTGACAGGTGTAAAAATAAACAGGTTCCAGAAAATTTAAGAGAAGAATATTCTCTCCCTTTCTCTGTGTGGAAATAGGTAGAAGTGTGTTTTGAAATATGAATTACCTAAGAGGATGATTCCTGACTGTAAAAAGCATGCTTTTCATTGAAAACTTTCACTTTCAAGACATCGCAAAAAAATTGTTATAAAAAACTTCAACATCCATGCAATTAATTTTTGAACTAGAGAACAGGAAAGAAGAAAAAAAACAATTTCTCAACACTTTATTAATGTTGGAATTAATTAGGATTATTATATTTAAGTTAAGCGAAGTGTATCCATCTGGCTAACAACATTGATTTTAATTTAGACGAAACAATTATATTATCTTACCCTAGGCATATTCCAGTTTAATTAGGAAAAAATAAAAAATAACTAATATAATTTGATAATACTGTTATTCTTATTTTTCTTTAATAGATTGTTATAAAAAATTCATTTTTTATCTTGTTATTTATTACCCTTTCTATTCCACGGACAGACACCTAACTTTCATAACAAGTATTTTTTATTTATTTAAATGGATTAATTTCTGTTGAAACTGGGTATTTTTAAGTCAAAAGTGCACCTCGAAATTGATCCTCGTAAATAAATAAAAAATACTTTTGGAGAAAGTGTGCTTTCAGTTTTCTCCATCTGTGGAATAGAATGGATAAAAAGATTTTAAGAAATTATAGTTTTCAAAAATATTACTCAATTTTTGTGCCAATATTATTTTCTTACTCAGTTAGCTTTTAAAATTTAAAATGATGAACTATGAAAAAATATGATTGGTCTAGGTGAACTTTAGAGCGGATCCAGTAGTTAAATGGGCTCACCTAAGCTGTGGAACTGTGGCTCTCCGACGTAGATCTTGTAGCAGATGACATAAGAATCAGGGCCTTGCCGCCTTGAGAGTTTGTACGCTGGGGTCACCCTCGTCACAGAGACGAGGCTCTTTAACAAAATGCCCATCCTGTTGTAGACTGTGTACGTAACTCTAACTGATGGGTCTGTGATTTCCGGGCTGACGCCGACGCACCATGTCTCAAGGATCATCATGTCACCTTCAACTGTTCTAAGTGAAATCTCAACGCAGAGTGGTAGCCGTGAACCACCATTGTACATGGCAGATTTGGCTTCTGCGAGCACTTCCGGGAGATCTTTAATCGCAAGATTAAACTGAAAATAAGGCAATACATACTATACTTATAAATAATTAACATTCTTGAAATTAAATATTTTTGGATCGACTTACAATTTATAATTAATTATATTTTTAATCTAAGGTTTTGGCTAAGATGAAAAAGCCACGACCTTTGGCTCAATAGGTTCGAATTCCACTCGTGACACTTGCTTTTTCATCTCAACCTTTCGAGGATCTTTTAACCTTAGATTAAAAGTATAATTAATTGAAATAATTAATACCGTCAACTATGACTGTTGAATGCATGTATGGACTATTATTAAGTTGAAAAGGATCAGAATAATTGACCTTATGCCGATCTTTTTAACTTAATTCTTAAAATGGTTTTAATTGTTGTTTTATTTTTTTTTTTTCACAAATTGGGTTTTGATTTTCATTAGTTGTATATTCAACTGAAAAAATAGATAAAATAAAAATAAAGAAGAGGAATTTACCCAATCAGTTCCTGATGTCTCTGGATTGCATTTAGTGTTTATCTTTTCACCCATCCTTGACTGGACGATAATCTGTGCTGATTTGAGAGCGAGAAACTTCGTGAATTTGTCCAAATCCTTTTTGTCTTGAGCACTGAGTTTGTTGTTAGCTGCCATTTCTGCGGCCAAGATTAATGGGAAACACTGGAAAAAAGTAACAATTAAAAAAATTATATTAAAAAACAAACAAAAAAAAACATGATATTTCATTATAATTCCACTTTTAGAATGTAAAGGACCGCAGTAGCTGAGATGATAAGCTCCCTGCGGATGTGGTGTGATTCTCACTGCCACCCCTGGTCCTTTTTTCGCGATAGCCTTACCCCTCAAAAAATTCACAACGCATATATTATACACATACACCTCCTTGACTAAAAAAAAAAGTAGGTGGTAAAGTAAAGCAGAGTACTTTGTAATTCTTAGTACTACTAACATTCTCCAGAAAGTAGGCAACTATGTAACACTGCCAATTTTACTTTTTTATTTTTAGTCTATGCACAATTGAAGAAATTTATCTTTTATCTACCAACCTACCTCCTTCTATAATTGGCCTAATAAAAATTTATTAAAAATAAAACAAAAACATTGGAATAAAGGACAAATGAAGAAGAAATATTAAATTTTTGATAAAAAAAACAGCGCAAAATGTTTAAAGACAAGTGCTTTTAAGAAAAATTGTAGTACACAACACTGACGCTTTGAGGTCACTTTAATAATTTGATACTGTTTAAGAATAAAAGGTGTAGTGTGAAATAATTTTCTTTCAAGTTAAAAATTATTTGTGTGTGGTGTTTATTGAGTGGGCACGATAACGGAAATGTTTTTCTAAAGCCTACGTCGCACCAGACTTGCATCTCATAATTTCCAAATAATAATTTAAAATTATTAATTTTTTAAACCGATAATCCAGCTTAAAAAATTAATCCTTTAGACTTTCCACAAAACTAACAACATTCCACATCATCAAATACTTCAAAGATAATATTAATAATAAAATTTAGACATTTTTATTGTAGAAACTGTAATTCCAAACTCATTGGAAGTCTGATGTATTTATCATGTTAGCGGTTCTGGGTTCCAATATTCAGGCATTGCCCATGGAATTTTATTTTAGCAATTTAGAACTATTAATACAAGAGTCTTACTACATATAATTACAAATATATCTATGATATTCTCTGGTAATGCAAGAATTTCATCTCCACTCAAAAAAATATTAAACTCTTTAAAAACAAGAATCATGTTCTTTCAAACAAAATGTCAAGGTACAAGACACTTGTTATGCAAGATTGTTGGTAATCATCAGATTTTTTATTCATTTGGAATTTTGTCAAAAAGATAAATTAATTAATAAAAATCTAATGTTATAATTTACCATTTCTTCGAACCGGAACATAATTAAACAGCCTTAAATTTTCAACATAAGCTTTGGAAATAGCAAAACCAAAATGCGAATAAATTAGTGATAAGCTCTTAATTAATTAACTTCTTAAATGAAAGAGAAAAATTCCATCGAGATTCTGTTAGCAACTTTAGAACTTACTGTACTTTTTTAAGTAATAAAATGGTAATACATAATAATTTTGTTTTGTGGGCTTAAAAAAACAACGAACCCCCTTATTGTACAATTCGGTAAAATGAAGACATAGTAGAGCTAAAATAACTTGACGTCCCTGATTATTATTATTCTTTTTTGTAATGTCTCTAATCAATAATAAACAAATTCCGAGTATGTGACAATTTTCAAGAGATATGAATTTTCAGTAAGGATGCATAAATGACAATATAACAAAATAAAAAATGTCCTTGAGATGAAAAATATTTTTAATAATTTTAAATTAATTTGATGGTAAAAATAGTTTATATTGGGTTGTCCGGAAAATAATGCAGGATTTTGGTATTAAACAAAAAAAAAGAAACTAGTTACTTTAAAGCAATGTTCTTTAATCAAAATAATTTCCCATACTCTCAATACATTTCTCCCAACGTGTTGGTAACTTATTAATTCCGTCTGAGTAGAATTCAGAATTTTTAGAATTGATAAAGTCAATAAATGCATTTTCCAGTTCCGTTTGATTTTTGAATATTATGTGTTGTAAGTAGTGGTCCAGGTGTCTAAAAAAATGGTAGTCAGTAGGCGAGAGGTCCGGAGAGTAGGGTGGGTGAGGCAAAGTTTCATAGCCAAGCTCCAATAATTTTTGTGACGTTACACGTGACACATGTGGTCGAGCGTTGTCATGCAACAAAATGGGCCCTTTCCGATTGACCAAAGAGGGCTTCATTACTGCCAATTTCTGATGCATGGTATTAATTTGGTTACAGTATGATTCAGCATTGATGGTTTCGCCAGGATTTAAGAAGCTGTAGTGTATTAAACCAAATGAAGCCCACCATACCGTAACCATTACCTTTTTTTGATGAGTTGGGGGCTTTGGAGCTTCTCCTTTGTCGAGCCACTGTCCAGAACGTCTAGTGTTATCGTAGAGAATCCACTTTTCGTCACATGTAACAATTCTGGCCAGAAATGGGTCATTTTTGTTTCGACAAAGAAGTGATGCACAAACATCAAAGCGCTGATTTTTTTGGCGATCGTTTAATGAGTGTGGAACCCAATTTTCGAGTTTTTTCACTTTTCCAATCGCCTTGAGGTGGTCAGCGACGGTCGTTTTACTGACTTTGAGTTGCTCTGCAAGTTCTCGAACAGTTGTTTTGGGGTTTTCTTCCACCACTGATCGCAGAACATCATCATTAAGAGAGGAAGGCCTTCCACGACCTTCTTCATCTTCAAGGCTGAAATCTCCCTCCCGAAATTTTTTAAACCACCTTTGCACAGTGCACTCATTAACACAACCCTCGCCCCAGACTTGGTTAATGTTTCTAGCCGTTTGGGCTCCGCTTCGGCCGAGTTTAAACTCGTAAAAGAAAATCGTACGAAATTCTCGCTTTGACATTATAAGGATGACTGAATTATTTCCAAGTAGCGGAATGCTACAGAGGTAAACAAACAATATCATTTGGAAGAGGATTAATAAGTGTTGACATTCATACAAATGAGTAATCCTGTAAACGTAAACAGAATATTTTATATAGATTTTTTTTAATGAAAACTTAAAATCCTGCATTATTTTCCGGACAACCCGATATCTAGAATGTTGGTTATTTTTTGAACTATAACTATGCCATATATTTCAATTGCTAATGCATTTCGGGCCACGTCCCTGTTCCCTTTGAGTTCCATTTAGCTAAATAGTAAGCTCTGAAGAGACTCCAGGGACATGGCCCGAAATGCATTAGCAATTGAAATATATGGCATAAAAAATAAATGGATTAAAAAAATAAAATAAATGTCATAAATGAAAAAAAAAATATATAAAAAGAAATAAAATAACGAACATTCTAAACGAAATATCTTTGTTTCCTTCTAATTTTTATAAGGAAAACAGTTAAAGCTATCAATGAAATAAATAACTGAAAATTAAATCGTATCTTTTTATCGTGGTTAAACATATTTACTCAATCACTAATACTGTAATGATTACCTCCGACATCATCATCATCACTTTTTACATACTTGAAAAAAGTAATTCAACTCTTAGTGAGGGTCGACAAAAATTTGCGATTAAATTACACACAAAATCATATTTTACTATCACATTTACATGATACTTAACTGCTCGTTGACGTTATTTTTAAACTAAAGGAAAAAATAATTGACCTTGACCACAGAGAATTGAAGTGTGGAGACAAGAACCTGTTTACCACATTGCGTTATATAACACGGCGGAATTGAAAATCATTTTACACCTACAAATCATCGTAACTTGAAAAATATAGAAAGACAAAAGATTTGTTACAAGATATCCTTTTTTTAAATAAATATAATTCAAAATTGCAACTGTTAATATATATCAAACATACAAATGATTTTTTTTTTTTTTTTTTTAAGCAAAAGTTAAACGATTGGTTTCAAATGTATAACGAAGTTTTTACTGTTGGTTTTTTTATTTTTATTTATTTAAGACTAGAAGGTAATGTCCCCATTATTCCTGCCAACTTCCTAATCCAAGTTGCGTGGCACATTTAACAGGTTTTTTTTTTAACAGTTCCAACAACCTTTCCCCTTTGTTAAAAATTCCACCACAGCGAGCACTTTCAAATTGGAATTATTCATTAAGAGAATACTATGTTCATGAGAGGTTAAAATTTCAATATAATAATGCGAGTGCATTCTCATTGTCTTCACAAAGCAGGAATAGAATTTTTATATTGTGAGTTTCACCGATTAATATGTGAGATCCATTATATACCATACTTTGTAAAAAAAAAAAATTTAAAACCCACAACTGTACACTGTGTTGTTTATATTGACTAATTCCTAAGTATATAATGAAAATGTTTCTTATTAGATTATTTGGAAAACTGAAAAATTTACAGACATAAATTATTGTGTCTACTGGAGCCTTTCAATGAAATAATATTTTACAATGTTAATTGCATCATTGGAATTTCCAGTATGACAGCAGGAAAGATATGATTTTATCTGTTTAACCACCAGTTAATTTTTTTTTCACTTCAAAATTATACTCATAATTTCTTCAATACACTTTGAGTTTAACAATCTCAAAGTGGACAGCAATCTGTGATGATACAATTATCAAAGGACATTCCAAATAATGATAAGACATTTTGAGGAAAGTAATACGCCTTTTGGTGTCTATATGGCATCATGATTGAGTCAAAATGTCTAAGGAAATGTGAGCAGTACACAGCTGAAATTTTCACTAAATATGTAAATACACATACAATTAATTACATGGTAGTGAATGTTGTATTTTAAAATAAATATTGTGCTAAAATAAGAATTACACAATGTAATGATATAATATTTGTAATGAATTAATTATAGTATAATTTTATATAGCAAATAATTAAACTACACATTTCTTGTAATACATATTTCTATAAGAATAATATAAATCATCTAATATCTACAAGTCATCGACGTACTCATCAATTTCTTGAAATATTAAACTTTCCAACTGAACCAACAAGGTGTGCATTTGGTAATGATTTATTTATAAGTAAAATGAAATATTTGTAGACAAAATTGACAAATATCATTTATTGAAATCATAAAAGTAAAA